AATTACACACGGAAAATGTTTGTGAACACCCTATGCCAAAAAATTTAGCCATAAAATTGTATTTTGTAACAATTATTTTAGTTATTATATGCAATAATTGCACAACATTTCGTCAGTCTAGCGTAAATACTTATGGAAATATGGACATTTTATAAAAAAACAAATTTTTTGTCTTATGTTTTTTTTCGCTATAACTTAAAAAAATATTCAATAAAATTAAACAAAATAGTTAACATTCGAATAAAAACTAACATTCAATGATTATTTCGAAAATTGTTTATTGTTAAACATGTAGTAGACAATACCATGTAGGATGCTCTGCAGGCAACAGAAATGCAATTACACAATTGAAATTTGATAAACTAAAAGGGCATTTTTATTTATAAGCTTGACGCGATTTTTTTTTTAATCCGATTTTTTCCGAAAGTTATTGCATATTTTAATGCTTTTTTCGCGATTTTTTCTCCCCTTTTTTGGTTTGCAAAAACTGAGACTTAACTTGAAATTGCAAAAGGATGAGTGAAATACATCGCAAATACGTCGCAAGACGCTGTGAAGCGCAAAAATTAATCCCGAAAATAAACGAAAAATGTTACAGTAAGTGATTTTACGACATCCACCGCGTTCTTCACTTGTATTTTTCCTACTTAGTACTTGTATGAGAAGTTTGTACATGAAGTACGATAGATCACTGCAGAAAAGCGTTTAATAATTGAAGAGCTTAGTGGAAGAACCGGCTAAGTAACATTTAAAAAAATATTAGGAAAATTGCAAATTAAAATTAAAATTCATTATGTTGCTAAATCTATTCATTCCGAAGATACTCGATGAAAGAACTGTGCTACGTGACATTATTTGAGTATTCATTGGATGGAAGAACCCGCTAAGTGACTTGGAGACAAATAGTCAATGAACAACTCTAGAAAATCTCTTGCTTGAAATGAAACGTTATAGCGCGGGGAGAACAAAATTGGTGAAAATGAAAAATTTGAAAAAGCAGCTTCCATAGATTAAGGAGGAATATATGCTTTTTCACGAATCAATAATTAACAAAAACAAGAAAAAAATAACCACTTAAACTGCAGTAGGGGGATAATGAGCACTACACCCCACTTTTAAGGTTGATGACCTCACTTACTATAGTACTATGGGAAGACTTCACTTCACTTCGGATCGTTTACCTCTCGTCTATAGGATGAGCGCTACACCCCACTTCCTCAGTATGGAAGAGAGTTCAACCCCATTAATAAGCTCTTAGTAGGGATGACGTAGCATGTCTCTTTACTTGGCTTGGTTTGGACTAAACAAATATTTCTTAAGCATTTTGTGTATTCATTTTTTTACAACTATGGGTATGTTTGAAAAATTTGATTCTAACTTTTTAATCTGAAACAAGCTTCAAATAAATTTTTCATAGCAATTAATAATTGTAAAAAAATTCGTAGTGTCCCTCATTATGTAAATTGTAAACCATATATATGCTCTTAACGTTGCAGGATTTAGATTAAACAAATGCTTCTTAAAAACATTTTAGTATTTATTTCTTCACATAGATGGGTATTTCTGAAAAAATTTATCTTACTATCTGAAGAAATTTCAAATGAATGATTTGAAACAAGTTTCAAATAAATTTCTTGTTGAAAAAAGGTACAAAAAATTCGCAAAGTGTCCTCCTTTATTTTTATGCGCATGCTCTTAAATCAGCATTGTTTGGACTGAAAATTGCTTCTTAAAAATTTTAGGTATTTATTTTTTCACATATGTATATGGGTATTTTGGGAAAAAAAATTGGCACTTACTTTTTAATCTAAAACAGTTTCGAATGAATTCCTCGTTTCCAAAATTATAAAAAATTCGCAAATTGTCCCCCATTATGTTAACTTTAAACATGCTCTTAACGTAGTATTGTTTGGAGTAAACAAATCATCAAAAAATTTGAGTTCTCATTTCTTGACACATATGGAATTTTTGAAAGAATTGGCACTCACTTTGTAAACTGAAAAAAGTTTCAATGCGTTAAGATAATATACGTTAAGGGCATATATAGGGTTAACATAATGGAGGACACTTTGTGAATTTTTTATAATTTTTTGCAATATGTAATTAATTTGAAATTTGTTTCACGATTCAAAGTGAGAGTCAATTTTTTCAAAAATGCCAATATGTTTCAAGAAATAAGCACTCGAATTTTTTAAGAAGGATTTGATTACTCTCTTTAAGAGCATATAATTAATGTAATAAAGGACAATTTGCGATTTTTTTTTTTAATTTTTTGCAATGAGGAAATAATTTTAAACTTTTTTCATATTATAAAGTGAATCTCAATTTTTTTCAAAAATACCCATGTGTGTTAGAAAATCAATACTCAAATTTTTGAGAAGCAATTTTTAGTCCAATGCTACGTTATGAACATACTTATGAAATTAAAGGAGAACATTTTGCAAATTTTTTATAACTTTTTTCAAAGAGGGTTTCATATGCATTCAAATTTTCAGAGGTATTCAAATTTTTCAAAAATACTCACTTGAAAAAAATAAATACCCATATTTTTAAGAATCATATGATTAGTCCAAACCCATTATACATTAAAAGCAGTTATTATATTTAACATAATGAAGGATATATTGCAAATGTTTTATAATTACTTGCCATGAGGAAATCCACGCTGAAAACAAATATTATTTACTCAAATTCATTTAAGTGTCACTTAGTCGGTTCTTCCACTAAGCTTTTCAATTATCCATGCTTGATCTAGAACGTCCATTAGACTCGTGGTAGAAATCTGAATGTCTAATGGATGAACTGTGCTGTATTGGCGATCGAAATGGGCTGCAGGTGGCGTAGAGCAGAACTCTTTTCCTATGGCAACACTTCACATGCTTTCCCCATTAGCGTGTGGAAAGTCATAGAGGAGGGAAGTACGTTAGTTTCTCTCTTGATTTTCACATAGATTAAAATCTTTTAACTGGAAAAACTATATGGAACTGAAAACTACTTTAAACATAGTTCTAAAGAAAAGTATCATAGAAATTTTAAAAAATATTTTTATTGAATAAAAAGGAAAAATATTAAGAAAAGGGAAATTATCGTAGTACATTCCTATACAACTGAAAAGAGGAGGGGAGGGGAGGGAGAAGGGCTAAAGGCATGAAATCGGTCTCTCCCCAGATGGCGTATTCGAGTGTTGCGATCGCGAATAGGAAAACCTCCTTCAGCATTGACAAATGTCTAACGCACTTGAGTAAACATCGCAAATATTTTTGGTTACAGCTTTAAAATTCTGTTTTATCACCCTAGTGAAACTTAAGAAGATTACAATACCGGATATGTACCTCATCTGGTATTTAACTAGCCTGTTCACCATGAATAGCAACAAACCAATTAAAATTCCATTATTTAGGTATGTTGGTACTTTATTTACGTCACACTAGAGCTGCACAATAGGCTATTGGCTGTCTGGGAAACGTCCCTGAGGATGATCCGTAGGCATGCCATCGCAATTTTGATCCTCTGCAGAGGGGATGGCTCCTCTGCTTTGGTAGCCCAATGACCTGCTTTACGGTATATCGTACTACTGTACTATAGAACAGTTTACGAGGACCGATACCGTACACCCTCGGTCAATACGCAGGCTGATCAAAGTTGTCGCCCACCCGCTTACTGACAGCAGCCAGTGATACTTGACTTCGGTGTTTTACTGGGAACCGTGTCTTTACGATCACTCCGTTGTTCATTATTTAGGAGTAAACAAGAACCTGAAAATATCTTTTGTTCACGTGTGCGACTTTGAATTACGCAATGAACTGATAATTGGCAAATGAATGTCGAAATGCACTGAAACGACATTACTTTTTCATCCGACTTTAACTTTTCTGCTTAACGAACTTCTCCACAACTTCTCCTTTCCGATCTCACATAAGCATATATGATAATTTACATTTACATGCATTGAGAACATTTAACCAAACTTGGGTCATTTTCCTAATTATAAATAGTAAAGCGAAATTAGGGGCAGTGAATATTCTGTTCTGAAACTGATATTTGAAAAATATTCGCTTTTGAAAATATGAAGATTTTTTATCAAAATTAATTTTAAAGTAAACATTATATACCGGCTCAAATTAATTTTTTTATGAAGAGGTAAACAAAGAAATATTTTTAGATAAATTAAGCTTTGAAGTTCAATATTTAAGTTCTTTATAATTTAAAAAGGAGAAATTGGTTTAAAGAACTTATTTAAAAATATTCCATTTAAATAATTCTAAGTAAATCATCCTAAAAATTTAATGTTAAATGTATGTAGAAATTATTTATTTATACTTTCTTTTAAAAAAACAATCAGTTCGAACTATTGTAACTTTTATAAGTCACTGTTACTTTTATACTGTTGATATTTTAATATTTTTTCTGACTTCCATTTGTTAATATAAACAAATACTATAACTGGTTGTCCCGCAGTGGACTGATCGTTAAGACACGGTTCCCAGCAGATCACCGAAGTCAAGCATCACTGGCTGCTGTCAGTGTGCGGGTGGGTGACCACTTGGATCGGTCTGCGTAGGGACCGAGGGTGTGCGGTATTGGTCCTCGTTAAACTGTGCTACCGTAAAGTGCTCGACTTCGCGCGCAGGTCGTCGGGCTACCGAAACGGGGGTGCCATCCCCTCCGCAGAGGATCAAAATTGTGATGGCATGTCTTCGGATCATCTTCCGGGATGTTTCCCAGACCGTCGCCAATAGCCCATTGTGCAGCTCTAGTGCGACGTAAATTAACAACAACAACTATAACTGGTTAAAAACTGGTTAGAAGAAATGCGTAAAAGAACCATTCTCTCTGGATGAAATTTTGCATTTTTTTTCTGATACAAAAAAATCTCATTCAGTTTTCAAATTTACCCGAAATTTTTTTTTGCTATGCTAAAAAACCCTACTTTGGTGGGAAATAGTTACCTGCAAAAAATTCGTCACTTAGATTCGCATCCAATGGGACAGGCCTGTAAATCATATGCAGTGAGAATGGCCCTCGCATTAAAAACGTACGCTGTGATTTTGCATGCGAGATTAAATTTTGTTTTAGGATCATTTGTGCCAAAATATAATGCATGCGAGTATCAGGTGGATAATTTTGGACATTTTGTAAACAAATTTGTATTTGAGCGGTAAGTTGATATTTCTATTTAAATGCGTAATAATTTCTATAGAAAAACATTGATTAATTCAATTTTTTCCTGCTACACTGTTTTGAAACTTTGGTATGTTTCAAAATAAAGTTCAATGCTTGTAATAATTTTGTAATACGTATATATTGTCTGTATATTTAATGGCGCTGAATTGTTAACTTCGTTTTTAGTTGCTTCTGTTTCAAAAGTTAGTATTTTTATGATAAAATATTATCTTAAGTACAAAAATGGTGACAGAGCCTCTTCCATGGTACTGTTATTTAGCATGAAAACTTTCTATGATTACTCAAATAATCACATTACGTAATTAATTTCTATTTATATTAAGCCCAACTCGATTGATAGTTGAAGTTAACACAATTCATTCATACATCATATCATAGTTAAAGGAAAATAACAAATTTAAATCTTTTCAGCTGTTGTTGATGAAACTTTCTTTTTTAGGGCCTATTAAATTACGCAAATTATTTCAAAATAGCATGTAATTATAAAAAATTTAAATTTTTATAAATGCATGCATTTTTGTAATATAATATAAATTGTAAATTATAAGATTTTTTGTTTAAATAAAACGGGCAAATCTACACTAAATCTTATTCTTGCCCCCTTCAAGATTTAGTTAAATGTTCAAAAACCATTTTTTAATCAAAAAATTATTTTTATATTCAGATTGGAAATGGATGAAATACACTTAAAAAGACTGTTGGAGGAAAATATTTTAAGAGTGGAAAGAGAAAACTGGGTAAGAATTTTTATTTTATTTTGTAAAGCTTTAATTTACCTTTATGTTTAAAGCCTTAAAATTGTTGTTTTTCTTATATGTGCTTGAATTTCTCATATTAAGACGCACAGTATTCAAAATATTTTTCAAAAAATTTTACGTAGTCTAATATTACAGATTTACCTTACATAATAAATTCACTTTTAGTTTTATACCTTTATTTCGGAATAAGTGATAATAAAAGAAATCAAGTCATAATAATTCTAGAGAATAATATTAAGAAGGGATGATTAATAACTTTTAATGAGTAAAAACTTTTAATAATTGAATAAACAAATAATTTATGGGCCAAATAAACTTTTCATTGTCTTTTCCTTCAAAACTTCTTGTTTCATATTTTTTCCTTTTGATATGCAAAAAAAAATTTTAAATCTCAATTTCTGCATTTAACTGTGCAACTAAGAAAAAAAAAAAATTACTATATAGCTTACTGTATTAAAAATGTGCTATCTTATTTTAACACTCTTAAAAAATTTTATTTGACATTTATTAATAAAGAAAGAAAGTATAATTTAACTTTTTTTTTTTTAAGTTGAATTTTTAGTTAATTTTCGGTAGTTGAGAAATTTTTTTTTTTTTCTATTCAAAATTGACATGTTTGCAAGGAATTATGATTGTTTTGTCAGAAAAACTGAAAAATTTCTCAGATTACCTATAGGAAGAGTAATTTAGAAAGTTTTTTAATTCTTAAAGATGATTTTTCCTGTGAACAAAGAATTTCATGTAAAGATTTTTTTTACACACATATTATTTGTTTATTATTTATTTATTGTGAGATTGACAACTATGATTGTATGTCATTTGACTATCTTTTAAAATTGGTATACATAAGTGTAATATAAAATGTAAAAATTAAAATTCTACCGAAACAGAACCTTTTGCCATCTAAGGAAAAATTATAAGTTGCCATTTACCAATAGCTTTATCCAAGTAATTTCATTTTTCCTCTTTCATTTTGTTCTTATATGTTTGAAATTAAAATCATATCTACTTGAAATTTAAAGTTTAATAATTGAAGTTTAATTTTTAATATTGTGCATTGTTAACATCCAGGAACAAATTTATAAAGAAAGCCAAGAAGAAAATGCAAAAGTATCAGAAAGAATCCTTAGAGAAAGTCAAAGAAAGATCGGAAATGTAGTCATTAAGCAAAAGGTTTAAGCATTTTTTATTAATGTGTGTTAAAAAGTAGCTTATATTGTTCTGTTTACTATGTTAATGTTTTACCTTCATATTCATGCTATATCTTTTGTTGCCAATCTTGCTTATATTATCAGGTATAAATTTTTATTTTAAGTTAATGTTTATAAAACATTGATATCTTTCTTTTTCTTCTTCTTTTCTGAACTAAATTATTTTACAATAAGTTTAAAAGTAATCAAAGTCAAAGATTAATTGCAAGTTCATTTATTTATTTTCCTTTTAATGAATTCGTAAACATCTGTGTTCTGTATGCCTTCCTGCAAAATATTGGTATATATATTTTTTTTTTTGAATTAATTTGTGCTTTCAAAATGTTTTTCCGTTGTACTGATATTATAAATATATATATATATAAATACAAGAAAACACGAAGAAAGTTATGAAAAACAATAAGTTTCATTTATTGCGCATAAGCTGCAAGTAAACAGAACTCATTAGATAAGTTCAAAATGAAGATAATGTGCAGTAAGAAAGGCACAGTAAAACCCTCTAGTTACACTCAATTTGCTCTATTTTTTTCATATTTTGTAATCTGGCAGTCTTGTTGCAAAAACATGTAAGTACCATGTAAGTACATCTGATTTCGCTACTCGCTTTATAGTCTATGTTTTATACTGTTTTTTATTTTATTTTCTGTTTTTACATATTATTTTTACTTATTGTGTTCTATTTTATTTGTTGTAATTTTTGTAAAAAAAATTTTTGAGTGCTCCTCACACTATTGTATTAATATATTTTGCTTTGGCTTTATTGATACAATATCAGAAAGCACTCTTTTTTGCTGATATAATCGTGTGGGCTGATGAAAAGATTTTTTCTTCGGGTTTTTTTGTAATAAAATTTCATCCTTTTTTTTAAACTGTTGTTTGTTATTTTTTTTACTTATTATTTCCCCCCCCCCTTTTTCTCNTTCGTTTATATATATATATATATATAATTTGAAGTTAGGTTATTTTATCTGTTTAAAATTGTTCTAATATTTTATTTAAAAATAAAATGAAACAAATTTTGTGTAGAATTTTATTAAGTTTTATTTTTATATTTGTTACTGCTTTATAATCTTCATTTATTATAGTCATCTATATTTTTTTAAGTTAATATTTGTTATATGTTTATTAATTGGTACTTATTTATTTAATCAAAAAACTGGAATGTTTAAAACTAGGTAACTGATATGGAACTAAATTATTAAAATAAGTAACAAAGTTTGAGTTGAATCACTTGATTTAAAAAAAATAATAATTTTATGTCATTTAAGAAGAAAATGATGCTTAAAAAATTTGACCCACTTTTAAAAAGAGATTGAAAGTAAAAAGTCCTCCTGAAATAAATTTTTCCAAAGAATAAAATTAATGTTCAAAAAAAAAATTTTTATAAATATATATTTTGTTTTATGTAACTGATTTATCTATTTCTTTGTATTATGATTCCTGTATTCTTTAATGATTCACTTAATAAAAAATAACAATCAAAATGAATCCGTTATGCAATAATATTACTAGTTTATGTTTGTACAAACTATGCAATTTTAATTATGTGAGCAAGTAAAGTTTTTACATTAGTTAATATGTCAGTTTCCTGGGGTAATTCATTTTAATTTAATCAATTATATTTTTATTTAGAAAAAAAAATTATGTCTGAAAGTCATATATTTTATTTATTTTTTCACATTGATGTTTTTATTTAGAAAAAAAAATCAGATATTAAATTGCTTCTTTTATACTAATATTTCTTTATTGAACAGAAAATGAAAGATTATTTTTTTTAACCTATAATTTTTTCAATGTTTGCTTTTGTTGTAAATTCTTTTTATTTTTATTTTGGTTACATCTTTTAAACTTTAGTTACAGAAATTATTCAAATTATCTGTGTCTTGTTTAATTAATTTAAGATGTGTGTGAAGTTGGCTTAATAGTTTTAAAATCAGATTTAATTTAGCATTAAACAATGATTGTGTATTATACTAATATAGAACATTTTTATTTGCTTTTTGCTTATTTTATTAAGATGAAATATTTTTCTTCCCATCTTATAAAATTTTTAAAGTCATTTAATCTACTTTGTATGTCATATTTATATTTTAATGCAAACGGTTGTTTGTTTTACTCTTTGTTGTCATATGTAGTTGCTTAATATTTGTACTACAACTTCCAAGTTTCAAATCGAATTATTATTATGGAATTCAATATAACTTTCCAGTTAATTTTAATGATATCAACATTATTTTTTTTCAGACTTTTTCTTATTATTTATTTGTTTATTTTCTGGTTTTGAGAAAAAAAATTGCTTATTGTTTATCTGAAAATCTATTTTTCAGTTAAAAATAAAAATGTCTAGTTTTAGACCAAACTATATTTCCAGTTATTTAGAAAATTACTTAATTAAAACAGTAACAAAAATTATTTGTATCAAGAATCAGTGTTTTCATCATAGAAGAAAAATGGGTGAGAATTTCTCACCCTTTCTCAAAAACAGGGTGAGTTTTCAGAAAGTTAAGTGATATTTCCAAAAACTGAAAAAATACAAATAGACTTGGAAAAAAAATCATTTCTTTTATTATAATACATTTTTAACGTCTTCTATTTTTTAAAGCATTGAATATTTTTGCTGCATCATCATAGAAGATTTTGCCTTTACTAGGTATTTGTCCATCTTACATTAGTGCATAAAAAAATTTGAGCGTCTTACATGAAAAACCATACCTACAGTAAACACGTGATTGCAGAGAAATGTGTTCTGAAAGGGGTTCCGTGGTTCGGAGGGGTTGTGTTCTTGTGTTCTGTTGTTCGAAAAGGTTCTGAACAATACCTACTGGTAAATAGGGAAGCTAGATAACGGGGCAAGTGTTGAAAATAATGAAGATCCAGGAAGAAAAGTGAAACGGATTTTATTCTAAATGACGTAATTCGAAACTTTTTCCAAAATGCGAGAATTTCGCGAATTTTGAAATTGATTTATAGAATACGCGAATTTCTCGCGGTAATCATTTTTTAATGCGAGAAAAGAAAAAAATATGCGAGATTCTCGCGTTCTCGCGCTGTAGTGAAAACACTGAGAATATACTAAAAATTAAAAGTAGCTTTAAAATGATTAAAAGGACATTTTTCTTCAAAAATTTATTCTCATTATAATCTAAACTCTATAACATTTATTATTTTTTGTATTTATGCTTCAAAAAATATGTGGAGAAAGTTTGTTAAAATAAGGCTTCATAATCTTCTATTAGTGTTGGGTTTGATAAAATTGCTGATGATTGTAATAATAGCTGGTATACATTAATCTTTTTTTTAATTCAAGAGAAAATGTTTCTTTGAAATAAGTTATTGTGATTATTATACTATTTCTTAAAAGTTCTTATTTTTGGTTCATATTTACAGTTTAAGTCATCCAAATTCAAAAAGCCGCTAGACTCTATTATACAACCTAATGAAGAGCTAACAAAGCAGTCAACCTGCGATGGTGAGTTAAATCTGTTACTTTGGTGTTTTAATGTTAATTTAAAATGAAAGTTCCAATTTAATTAATAAGTATCTTATCTTCAGTACGTAAATATATAAGATATAGTCGAACCTTGATAAGAGGGAATTTTTAGAACATATTTGCAATATTATTAACATCATTTTAAAATCTGATTATAACTTTAACCTATCAATGATATGGCAATTAAAATTAGCATCTTAAGCATTGAATCGATGTTTGGTGAGAGATTAATTTTAAAAGCAACTTTTCTTTTCATTTTCTAAATATTAATTTCTTAGTTGATTTTATTTGGTTGTCAAGGAAAAGATTTTTAATTATTAGAAAATAATAATGGTTTATTTTGATTGACTACAATTTTGATTTTATTTATACCATGTGGTGACTATAACTTGAGAGAGTTGAGTAAATTGTACATTGAGGCACAGATATAATAATACATTTGCAGTTATTTTTAAATTTTTTGGATAATAAATATTTTTTTAAAAAATATTCTTTGCATTTATTTATGACTTGTTATTTATCTTCTTTGTATATTTTATATTGTTTTTCATGCAGGGCTAGGATATTTAAAAGTATATAATGTTTATGACATTTTTAGAATAAAATAATTCTGTTATCAAGGAATATTAAGAGTTTGCAGATACTTTTGATAGTGTGCACAGATAGTTAGTTTTTCTTATCCTACTCTGCCTTGGGACAAACCACAAGGTACAACATATGTATGATTTTTATGAACTTTATTATCTTATACTTTAAGGAAGCATGGTATAATTTGTTGCTATTTTTTAAATACGGAAAATGTCATAGTCTAATACTGTAAATATGTTTTAGTGTAATGTGTCATTACAATATTTTTATCATTCATTTAAATGTACATATTATGAAATTGGAATCAGTAAACTTTTGCTAGGTTATACAAGTTTTATGTACGACTGGTATATACAACTTTTATCTATGTAATTTGGTTAAATTGATAATTTCGTTTATCTAAAGCAATTCAAACAAAATAAAGCTTTTAGATAGTTAGAAACATGTTTCTTTTAGCTGCACCTTACCTTATCTCTTACCTACCAGGTTTATTTCAAACCCTAAAAAATAATATTTAAATTCTAAAATTTGGAGAATTTTTGAAGTTAAAAATAAAATTTGGAGTTTGGGAATTCGGAAAACATGGTATTAATGTTCACCATTCTTTAATAAATACTTTAATCTTTGTATTGTGCATGATTATATTGGATCAATTTACTACGATTCTGCAATAACCATTTTAATGTATTAAGTTAATACTGAAAACTTATATTGTTTGTGCATTAGTTGGTGTAAAATTGGTAAAAATGTTGAATTTTATTCCACTATGTTTTGAAAGCTTAATTAAAATTTAAATAATTTTGAATAAAAATGTTGTTTAAATCCATATTATTTTTTTTCTTAATTTTTCAATGATATACTCCTTTTTTTTAAAAAAAATTTTTAAAAATTAAATAGCTGATTTTTTTAAGCACTCTATTTTTATTGTACATTTCTTTTATAGATCGATTGTTTGATATTCAACATATTCACTTTTTGAATCACTATAAATCTCAGTTACAGCAGCAACAATGGGAATTGCAAAAGAGGCGTTCAGCATATGGTAATTCTCTTAAGATTATTGTAATATCTAATATTATATTATGTATCAATCAAAAAACATATTTAATCATTTTTAGTTTTTGTTAGCATTTTAAATTTTATTACAAATTAAAAAATGTTATTTCTATAATAAAAATTTTAGCATGTTCTTTAATAGCAGTGTTTTGTTAAGCATATGGTATGCGGATAATGGTACATGGAAACAGTGATGCTGAAATATATTTTTCAAAACCTTCATAATCAATGATTTAAGAATGCATAATATTTTACAAAATTTTATACACAAGGGAAAGAAATCTGTATTAATGTATTAAGAATAATAGTCCAGTGCATTTTATTACGCATGAAAAAACAGAAATTGATAGAACTTCAAATGTCAGACCACCTCAGTTTCAATTGCTAGAAAAATAATAATTTTCCGTTTTGACAATTTGAATGCATTTGATAAGTTTGCTCTGTTGAATATCTGTCTTTTTGGAAATAAAATTTCAGAAGCAATTGATAAATTAATGTTCAGCTAGCATGATTCTGAAAATCTGTAAGACATAAGTATCATCATTATTAATATTAAATGCTATATTTAATATTAAATGCTGAATAAAACCAGTGTCATTTATATTGGATTAATTTTATGATTTACTGATTCAAGCATGATTACAATATTTCAATTAAAGTGTTAACAAATTCTTCTACAGCTACATTATGATTACTATTATTAAACTACAGTTGATACAGTTCCTACATCTTTCATTTTCTCATTTATGTCATGCTGTTTTAATGGTTCTGTCACAAATGTTTTTATTATTATGTTGTTAATACTTGTGTATATCGTTTTTCAAGCTAGCATATTCCCCTATCTATCATTCCTCATTTCTCTCAACAGTTTAAAAAATACGTTGAGGACAAGAAAGGAGTAACCAAAAAAACTATAATCCTAAAAAAAGTAAACTAATGTATAATTTCTGTGCAAACAATGAAAATAAAAAATAACTAGCATCTAGTAAGGCATTTAATTGAATCTAAATTACAAAGCAGTTTATTATGCTTACCTATAGACATATAAATAGGAGAAGGGGGTTTGAAAAATTTTCATTCTCCTCAAAAGTTAACTTTTACTATTATTCTATTTACTATTACTAATGCAGTACCACATTAAAGTGTTTGTAACAATTGGATTTCTAAAATTATTTCTTTTATTCTCTGTTTTTACTTTTAGAAGTTTCTTTTTTTTCCTTCCTTTTCTTGTTAAATTTGTAAAAAATTGCATTTGTTTGTAAACACTGAATGCACCATGAGTCAAACTTGCTAGATAAAATGGTCACAATCAAATTCAACAAAGTTCTAAAAAAGGCATGAAAGAAAAGAAAGTATTTTTCCTAATGGCAGTATTTTTCCTGGAAGTCAAAAAAACAGGTTTTCTTTTTTTTTACTTTTTAAACTTTCTTAAATTTTTTAATTTGCATTTAAAACTGTTCAAGGACCAAGTCTTAAATTTTCAAGACAACTTTTAATTCATGGGCTGTAGGTTGTGAATTTCAGGTCAAGAGGAAACAACCCTCAAGTTTATTTAAGTAATGAAAATTTGCGTGACCTTCTATAAAAACTTCTAATTAATTTTTATCATATTAATTTTGCACAATGGCTCTAGTAATTTTTCTGGACTAAAATCTCTAATATATTGTAATACTGTAAATTGAAACTGCTACTGTTTATTACATTTTATATGATTAATATAACAAATTATTTACTTTGTTAATTCCCTTACTTTAGCTATACCTCTCTCTTTACCAAGTCAAAAAGATGTATGTTCTGGTGTCAAAAATATTCCTGAGATCAATAAAAAGGAAACTAATAAGGAGAACAATAATTTGTTACACATTGTTTGTAAAGAAGGGGCCAAAAAACTTACTATACAGGTAATTCAAATATATTTATTATGTTTGGAAACTCTATTATTATTCAATGTTGGTGTGTTACTGTGAAGGTACTGATTGTTACTGTACTTGTGAGCTGCGTTACTTGAAATAATTTTTAAATATAATTGGCACAAGGTCCTCTAAAAATGCAGGGCACTGGGCTAATGCCAGGCTGTTGGGACAACTCTTGTTTCAAATGTATTAATGGCACTTGTATAAAATAAAATAAAAATTAAAAATAAAGGAATATGATCAATATGTTAACTCCACATTTTATGAAATAATTTCAGTATGTTTTGTAGTTATCTATTTATTTTTTGTTTGCCCCAAATTGAGATTATTGAGAATTCATTGATTGAGATTATTGCGATTCATTTGCAATGTTTAACAAAGAATACTTTCCATCCCATTAACACTTAGTCAATAAGTAAAATATGAGTTTTTAACTGCAAACTTTGTATCCCATTTATTATCGATGTTTGTATTTGACAGACTTGTGTTTTTTGTTACAACTATAGCAACAACTATATATTTTGTTACAACTATATATTTTGTTACAACTATAACTGCTGTAACTTTTTCAATTACAAAATTTATGTAGAAAAAGTTTTAATCAAAGCAAAACAAGTTACATTTTGTTAGTTCTTTCCAGTACAAAATATAAAATGAAAAATAGTTTAAACATATTCTTGATTTCTGATATATTTGTCCCACAGACTTAGCATCTGTAAACACAAAAGGTAGACAAGCATGTGTTCTCCAAATAGTGTAGACCATGATCTTTGGTTTTCAAAATTTTTCTATTAATGTTTAAATTGATCATTTCAGAAGCTGCCCAGTATTAGTATTTATAACAAAAGCTATAAAGAAAATTCGAACATTTCATTCGAAGAAATTACAGAGGTAAGTTTCATAATCATAAACATAATGCATGTTTAGCCAATATCACTATAATCATTCCATTTTTAATGGATTAATTTTGAGAGATACAGTTATACTTTATTATTTTCAATTTGAATTAAACTTGGTACACAAAGACCTGCTCATCCAAGTTCTGCAATATTTCAAGTTCAAAAACAATTAAGTTGCTGTGAATATGGAATACCTATCAAAAATTGAGACTAACTTTAGATTGATAATGCAAAGGTTTGTATAGTTATTTGATAGATAACTATTAAAATATGCTTAAAATTGATATTTTTCATTAAAAATTTAGTTACTTTTGAGTATTAAATTTCAAGAATAGTATAATAGATTAAGCATTCTTTTCATGAAGATGCTTATTTTATTTTCAAATAATATCCTTAAGCAATTTCTAAGAATAAAAATAAATAAAGCCAGTGCTTATTTAATAGCAAATTATTTTTATTTTAAGAAAAACTTTAAGTGATGGACTTAATTATGCTTTGTTTCGCTTGAAAGATATGTCAAGAATTATCTTCTTTTTTCTTTTCTTTTTTTAGTAAAACAATGTGCCAGATTTTCTTTCTCTTTAAGAAAGGGTCAAGAGTACTTGAAACTACAAATGCCTATTTATTCTTAATTTCTGAAACTAATACTTGTTTTTAAATAACCTAACTTTTATTAAAATAAATTATTCAGAAATATTTCCATTTTTTAGTATGATGAAGACACTGGATGTAAAATGACAGAATTTCAAGATGATTCAACTAAAATTCCCCCACCTTTTCAACGCCATAAGATAGTTACTGATTCTTTACTTTCTAAAAGGTAAATTTGCATTCCTAATATGGGCATAGGAAACTTGTGCTCAGAATTATCTCGTATTCCAATTTTTTTCTATACATTTTTATTTACGTTTTTATCATTCAATTTACAACATAGATCAAGACAATATAATTATGAGAACTTAGTTAGATTCTTGATAAATATGAGAACTAAATGGTTTTCTTTTTCCCCTTAAGAGGACGCCATACCACGAGAGAAAATTTTCATCTCTAATTCTCTTTCACCACCATAACTAATTTAAAGTTTTGAAAAAGTGAGTTCAGACAAACCTAGTACTGAAAAGAAATTTTCATAATATCAAAATGAAAATAAATCATGAGAGGATAACTTAGGATTACGAAACGGCGAAGTTCTCTTCCAATAATTTGTTTGCATTTTAACATTTCGATTTTTTTTCCAGCAAATGAAACTTCAGTGTTACTCTAGGTTTGCCTGAACTCACTTTTTCTTTCTTTTAAATTAGTAATGGAGAGGAAAGAGAATTTGCCATGAAAAGTTTCTCCCTTAGTATGGCGTCCTCTTAAACCTTTAATTTTTTTTCCAAAAAGAAGTTTTAAGCTTTTAATTTTGTAATAAAAAGTTTTCTTTCAATATTACAGAATTGGAATGTGTTTTTTATTGTACATAATTAATGTACAATGCATGTTACCTGATGCAAATATTTTTATTAATTCATATAAATATTTATAAGATCAGTTCAATGCTGTTAAGAATATTATTTGTTTTACTGTTTCAAATAATTTTTTTAATTTTTCATATTGAAAAGACTTCTAACTTGCCTTAACTGATGTTTATTCAATTTTCTTTGTATTAAAGATCGATTCACTAGTTATTTTTATCTAACTGTAAAAATGATTAAATACATTCAATAAATTATTAATTTGGAGTTCACTCCAAATTAATAATTTGTAAGTTAATAATTTGTAAGTTAATAATAATAATATTTGTAAGTTAATAATTTGTAGTTAATAATTAAAATTAATAATTTGTTATATTTTGTAAGTTTGTATTTTTACTATGTTAATTCAAATCTTATAAATATGAATTTTATCCATAAAAAAACTTTTAATGTATCATTATTAATCATTTGTTAATATAAATAAATTAGTTCAAATAAATAAATTTTTCTTTAAGGAAAAAAAAATCCACTTTTTTTTCTAAGAAATGTTTTTATTTTATTGTTTAAATCAGTATGTCTTATAAGTTTGTTTTTATTCTGTTCATTAAGTTACTTGTTTTATGATAGAAAAATTCAGAATAATAATTATACATTAAATAGAAAATAATTGATTTACAATACTTACTTTGTGATTTTTCATAACTTACAAAATTACATGCAAAATTTCGTAACTTACAGTCAAATAAATTTTTTTGTTAAACTATAAATGTAACTTTTTGATTAGGGTATAACTATAAGAGTAAAATTAAATAAATTTACCTTTTGTAGTGAAGATTAGTAAACACTTTTCTGCAAGCAAACACTCAATAATATCTGTAGGATTATTTACATAAGTTCAGAGATTTGTAGAATAATTTCTTCAGCTGTACTGTCTTTTTCACACAGACATAGTCTCTCTTTATAAATTAATAAACAAGTTGTTGACAAAAATTTCATTCTGTTTCATTAAAATTTGAAATAGTATGCACTTTTACTGTTAAGATGCTAAAATTCAACCATATTTAAGGAAATTTAAAGTTACATCCTCTATCTTGTAGGTAGAGCGACTTATCATATTTTTTAATGTTAAATTTTTTTATAGCATATAAAGATTTAAGGCAAGAAATATATATGAGTATTTTATCATTTCAAGTGTTTTCTGATAATTATTTTGTTTCAGAAATGAGAATATGAGAATTCATCACCCTGAAAGATCAGTATTTGCAGAAGGTACTAATTTTTAAAAAATGATTCTTTATGATTTTTTTTTTGTGACCTTTTTACTTTTATTTAAAATTTTACTGTTTTGTATTTAAAAACTTGTTTTATTTTATTTTTTAAAATTTTTTTTATTTTTAAATGGCATCATTAGCAGTTATTTCCTTTTTCTGTGCACTTGCTTGACAAATTGCAATGAAAATTATTCAAAACCCAAAACAGTTTTTATTTTGTCTTATAGAAGAAGAAAAAAAGATATATGTCATTTACAAATCTGGTACTACTTCATATTTAGCATGTCAAAATATTAAAAAAAAATGTTTTACTAAAATAATTGTTAAAACACTAGTTGATAAATGATAAACAATAATAAGAAGTGACTCTTATTTTTTACATATTTTAAAACTTTACTGAACCAACTGTTGTAATAAATCTTTAAAAAAAATTAAAAATTATTTACAGTTTCTCTATAAATATTATTCTTTTTTTGTGATTTGTAATATCAGCACATTAACAGTTTTTACTTAATTGAACTTTTCTTTAAAGATAAAAAAAATTGAGATTTTTAAATTGGACAATTTTTAATTCTTTAACTGTATAACATTTAAAATTTCTGCCATTCCACTACCTACTTCTGTTAAGTTGGGGTTTTTTCTCCTACTTTTTAATGTGATGCCTTCAGCAGAATTAACTTTCTTTAAATGATATTATTTGTCATAACCAATAAATAGTTACTTACTTTTAATTGATTTTAAGCAACATTTTCTTTAAATAAATATATTTCAGCTTATTTTTGATACTTATTAAATCTTTTATATTCTTTTTTAACTTAATTATATTTTTAGGTATATTTTGCATGATATGCAGATTTTTTTTTTGTTAAATAAAGTGATTATTGATTATATTGCAATCTATATCAACAGTATTAACCTGCAGTCATAGTTTTTCGCATAATGTTATTGAGAGAACCTTTTTCCGTATAAAGAAAGTCTATCATGTCCTACTTAAACTTGATTCTGGCTATCCTTTAAGTGATAATGATAATTACAAGAAACTTTATAAAATGTCATTATTATTTTTAAGAATAATGATAGTTAAATTAGAAATACCAATTTATTAATCAAACATTTATTATTTTCAGTGGCTGTAATTTTTTTAATCTTTTTTTTTCAGTTAATAATTCTCAGACCTATATTGACAAAACTTATTTAAAAACATTAGTGAGAGAGGTTTTGGAAGATTCAAAAAGTCCGTCTGGTCCCCAACTTTTTTCAAAACCAAGTACAGAAAATATGTGTTCCTTTAAAATGGTAACTATATATGGTGATAAATTTAATTATAATCCCTTTTTTAAGCTACTTGTAAACAACCTTTGACTGATGAGTACTTGTGATGCTTAAATGTTTTTTCTTCTTTTTTTTCTGATCTGTTTTACTTGGTCTTAAACTCTTTTTCTTCTTTATTAATCAATGTGAAAGATGTATATTGAGGAGAAATGTCAATACAAATTGGCTCATAAGCAAAACACTCACCCTGTTTAGATTATATAAATTGCAAACAAAGAAACATAAGTTATTAATTTGTAACATAAGACCAAATGAGTATATTGCATAGCTGTCAACTCTACTGGAATTGTCAACTGGATTTTGCCAGTTTCTCATGGTTTACTGGTTTAATAGGAATTTTCCTTGTTTTTGTGCACTTTAGAATATTCCTTAAAAGTGAGTAAGTTTCCTAAATAAATCCCTATTGAAATAGAATTTTAATGCAATTTATTACTTGCTTAAGTATTTAAATAAGTATGACTTATACATAATGAAGCGAGCCTCATTTATAGCAATCATTTTAAAGCTTTTCTTTCTTTCTTTTTTTCATCGTTTTTGTTCTAAATTTTTCAGTTTATTTTTATTCAAAACTCTCTTTTTAAATTAGTTTAAAAATCTTTTAACTATCAGTAATTACAGATCATTTATAGTTATTAGTGTAATATCATACGGACCATATGCAGTTTTTAGGGAAATATTGCAGTCCATTGGTAGTTATTAATGTAATAAAGTTGTGTATTTTGTTGAGCAATCCCTATATGAAAAATATTTTGTATATTATGCTACAGTTATGAATTTTATGTAATTTCTTGAAATCTGCTTGATTTTTTCTTATCTATGTTCTTTGCATTAATAATTAAGTTCTCAATTATGGTTTTTACAGTCTAGCTCTTTAACACTACCTCCCCTTACTACAGGGACCCTTCCATTACAAAACTTTTTATACATATATAACGGCAGGCAGTGAACTTATCATTGAAGGTGCCGGAAGTGTTGCTCATTTTGCGATGCCTAGTGAGCACCTTGAGACCAAAGTCACGGAGGTGAGCAACATTACCCATACCACACTGCCACAGATACCTGTTCAAAGGGTGGGGCACATTCACTCATCACATGCAACAGAGGGTAACACAGTGAGAAAAACATCCATGTCTTGAGCAGGATTCGAACCCGCAGTTATTGGTTTCGCAGTCAGACATAGTGACCACTCAGCCACCTGGCTGGCCCATTACAACTGATACTTGAAGTCTTGATTGCTAATACCACTAATTTAGGGCTGCTTTTAAAATGAGTTAAAAATTTCTGAAACACGATTTAAACCCCTATTTATGATATTTGAAGCAGTTATAAATGATATTATTTATGCAGTGCAGTATCGATAAAATATATAAATGACCCTAATTTATTTATTACTTGATTTGTTTGTTTAAAGTTTTAAAATTTTTTATTTATGTCGATTACATTTGTAATAATTTTCTCCCCATTTAAAAAGAATGTCTAGAACATTCAATATTATTTTATTATTATTTAATTCTATTTTATGTATATTTTTAAAAATTTTGTTGCATCTTATTTATTATTTATTATATTGTTTTGCTTGAATTCTATGTTTAGTTTCTATCAGTGTTTTTTGTGAAAAAAACTTCTTTTTTAAATTTTCAGAACCCTTATCAAAATTCAAACTGTCAGTCATTTGGAAAAAAGGAACAAAATTGCAGTTGCCATATCAATGCAAGGTAATAATTATACTATGTTCTTTTACAATGTGATTATTTGTCTCTCAAAATTTTTTATTCTTTAAACAAAATTTTATTTTTATAATAATAATGAATTAAACTTTAATCTTTAATAAAACTTAATTCCTTTTTTTTTTAAAGGAGATAATTTTTGAGCAGTATTAAGTAAAATAAAACCAAAGTATTTTCTCTGGCTTTTTTTTCCCCTTCTAATTAGTATTGTAAAACAGAAGACCTGTGCATGATATGCATTCACCTCTCAAAACTTTTATTCAGATCAGTGATTTTGTAGTTTCCGTGCATTGAGTTTACGATTAATTCCTTATTAGAACTTAAATAAATAAATAAAACAAAAATAAATATTACACAGCTTTTATGGATGATTTCTCTTTAAAGAGTCATTTATTTAAAAATGGCATAAAGTCAATGAAAATGCAGGCTAAATTTTTATCTTTGTCCTATTGATTGTCAAAACAAAGTTTGTAGAATTTGTTGACATGCGTATAGGGTTATGACAAACATATATAAAACGTTTTTGAAAAATTCTGAATCAGTCACTCAATCTGTTTTTAAAAAATAAATTAATATATTATTTTGTAGGATTTAAAAAGTAACTTATATAAATTTAATTTAAAGAATGTTAGAATTTCTTACTTTTTCATTAATATTTATTACTGCTTTGCTTATTATGCTATATTGTTAGTCATAAAAAATTTTATCTATATTGTATAGTTACATCATTATAATATGTTTTTTTTAATTAAAAATTTCAAGGTTTAATTTGTATATGAGCAAGAATTTTTGTGAAAAATTGTTTTTAAAGCANAAATACTGCCATATCACTGCCTTTATTCACATACTTGCAAATATATTTGATGCTCTTCTTTTAAGGGCGAGCATAAGTATTAGAGTTTAAAGTGAATTGTTGCAACGTGCGTGAATATTACTTTTTGATTTATCAGGTTTCTATGTCTAGTTTGGATTGGAATATGATTAAATAAAGATATATTTAAAATATACGTTAAATCTGTCCAAAAAATGAAAAAAAAATTAGTTATAAACCTATTCTCATACCTACTGAATATACATATAAAATTGCATCAAAATCGATTCAGCCGCTTAGGAGGAGTTTAACCACTAAAACTGTGACAAGAGATTTTTATATATATAGATAAGTTGAGGTTAGTTCTGTTTTAATATTTTTTCTTCTCCTTTAAAAAATCTTTTCATCTTTTTCTATGTGTTCTCTATATTTTTAACTTATTTTATGAGTTCTATATGCTTGCAGCTTATGTGCCATAAATAGCACTTATTTTTCTTCCTGTATCCTTCTTATCTTTATTATGTTATTATATATATATTTATGTAAACTATGTTCCGAAGATGTTTTTTTCATTTGAAAAATTGCAAATATTTGCTTTATGTTGATAACATGATTTTTAAAAAAAAATTATATAGTTTTTTTAATTTGCTTTAAAAAATGCAAAATGTCAAGGGCAAAAAAATATTTCCATAATTTATTTTATTATAAGTAATTGCTACTGAATAAGTTTTTAATTATTTTTATTCATCATTTAACTATTTAAAAGACATAAACATTAATATATCAGTCTTTCATTATTTTAGTTGGGTTTAGGAATGTAACTATTGTTTATACATTAATTAAAAAATGCCTCATTGTTGAAAAATCTTGTTAAATATTCTGTATATGAATTAATACGATATTTATCAGATTAAATGTAGTTTTAAAAAAAGAGACATCTCAAAAAGCTTATTACCTAAACCTTTATTCTTAAATTTAAATAAATACTCTATCATGTTTGCAGGAGGTGTGCTTATGAAATGATATCTGTACACCTTTTATTTTTTACATTTATTAATTGTCTAAACTATTTAGATAAATTTTGATTATTATTATATGTATATATAGAAGGAGATATTTGAATGTTGACCCAATTTATTCAGTTACATATTTATTTTAGTAAATATGAGTAAAAATATCAATTATTTATTAAAAATTGTTAAGTAAATAAAAACAATTGAACCATTAATTAGAATTTTTGAAAGCAAACTTATAATAATTAAACCTTTATTATGATGGTTTTAAATTAAATACTAAATAGTATAGTATGTTAAATGTTGCAGTGAAGATAGGGATATTTTTATAAATTAAAACTTGATTAATAAATGTTGAAATGTAACTATTAGTTAACCATGATCTTCTATTTGTTTTACAGCTATTTTTACAAATAAATGTTTTGAAAAATATCATTTAAAAGAAGAACTTTCATTAACCATATTTTTATTTTTAATTTATCTATATTTTCTTATTCAATCAGTTTAATAAAATAATACTTTTCAGACTGTACTAGTCCTAATAAGTTGAAAGTGGACAGCCCATCACTAAGAAATTTAATTCATGAAGTAATTTCTGAATACCATGCATTGTCACCAGCAGTGTCCGTTGTGAATAGTATTCATAGGGAAACACACAATTCTACTGTCTCTCAAAAAGTATTTATTTAATCATTATGTTACACATGCTATCATGAGATCATGTTCTAAAGGTTATTTATATCATTCTAACTATGTCTAGAATCATATTTTTAATATTTACATAGTGGCTAACTCTGCTGGATTTTCCAGTAGACTACTGGATGTTGCCAGTTCCCCCTGGTTTACTGGTTCAATTAAAATTCTCCTGGTTTTTGTACATTTTAAAAAATTGCTTAAAATTGTGTAAGTTTCCTTAAAAAATCCCTATTGAAATCGAATTTTTGTACAGATTATTGCTTGAAATATTTAAATAAGTATTATTAATGCATAATTAAGCAAACCTGATTGATAGAAATCAGTTCAAAACTTTTTTTGTTCTAAAATGTTCAGTTTATTTTTATTCAGAACTCTCTTTTTAAGCTAATTAAAAAAAATCTTTTAGCTATCTTTGATGAATTAAATGACTATTAATATTCAAAACTATGAGTATCATAATACATAACATTTCAAGTTTATTTAATGCCAATCATAACTGGAAAATATTGCAGTTTTTCTATTTTGATGACCATAAAAAATTCCTTATGTGTAAAATATTTAGTACATTACAACAATTATCGTGAAATTTATATTATTTCGTAAAATCTGCTGGATTTTTTTCCTATCCTTTTTTAATTCTATATGTATGCTGCATTGTTCCCGAAAATAATCTTTCTGCACCTGTTGCGCAGTTTTATTATTATATATGCATGTTAAGTGTGTGATGAATATTGCCTTATACTCTAAAAGAGAAGAATTTTTTAGTTCTAGAATAAATAAGATTGATTCTAATTTTCATAAAATCAAAAAATATCTGAAAAATTATATTTTAATAAAACAAACCTCGTTTATTAATTGCTTGAACGGCATATTATTATTCTCAGCTTTAAAAAATCATGTTTTAAATTAGGTTTTATTGTCTAAAAATTTGTGGATTAAAACTTTTTTTCAAAAGTTAGTCATTTTTACAGTTGTGTTAGTTAAAATATTTTCCAAATACATATTAAATAATTAAACAAAATTAAATACAACTTAATATTTTTCTTCAGTTCTTTATGAAATATTGGAAATTTTGAAAAATGCTACATTATCAACCAAGAGCTTTGAATGTGCTGCCTTTGATAATTATAGAAAAGAATACTGATATTAAATTTATTTAAAAAAAATTATTTTTAAAAAATGTGCTTTAATTGCATTTTTATTTGTAAGTATGAATTGTACAACTACCATTACTATATAAATGAAGCTAATTTACGATAACCCAATAAAACCGTTGTAACAATTTGTTAAATTTTTCCAGACTGTGGTCACCCTGTGAGATTGCATTATCTATTATGGTGACCTTAAAAGCCATTTAAATTTTATTTTCACAAAGAAAATAAAGAGCAAATTGATGTGAAAGTTATGAGCTAAATCACTAAAAGAAGCTTAAGATATTTTTCTGAAATATTGACATTTAGTATATTTCATTACATTTTAGGGGATTTTAATTTTTTCACATCTCTTACTGCTGTTTGGTTTCAAATGTGGCAACACATTTTATCGACTCAGAGAAAGAGAAATTGAATATTCAAAATTTTTGAACTGGTTAATAGTTAATCATTTTAAAAAGAAATTGGCTATCACTTGCCCATCTTTTACAACCATTGATGCACTTGTTAAATTTTTGTGGCTTTGTCATTGTTTATTTGTATACAAAATAATAGAATGGGTAGTACATAAAAGAACCTGTATAGAAAAAAAATAAAAATAACTACACAAAGAAAAATCATGTTTATAAGACATATATGACAAAACTTTGGGTAAAAAAACTTTTTTTTAAATTTATTTTAGATGTTGTGAAAAATTATTTTTAAAACAGTCTGGATAAAATTTATAATTTATGTTAAACTTAAAATAAATGTTTTTAACCTTAAATGTTAATGCAATGATTTTTTTTTTTCAGGAAGAAAAAACAGTCCAGGTAAGCTTTCCTATTTTGGAAGGGAATTCCAAGACACAAATGTCTAAAGAAACACAAGTCTCTATGTTTGTAGAAAATTATAATTCTCATTCACTCATTCAAGAAGAAAAAATAGATAATAGTGGATGTAAGAAAATGAATGAAAATAAGTCAGAAAATGGTATCTTTCTAATAGATTTTCATTATTATCAGTCATTCTTTCTGTTCTATTGTTATTAGTCAATAAAAAAATTTTTATTATAAGTATAAACTGAATCGCTATAGCGTAATTTTATTTTACAGTGTATTTTCTGTTTAACATATTCTACTAAAAATGCATATCCCGTAATAAGTGCTAATTTGGTACTTGATCCATCTCTAGAACCATCTTGATAATAATTTTTTTTTTCTTTACCGGCATTTTGGTTTTATAACTTTAAAGCACTATATTTTGATTTTTTTTCAATAAAATAATTAAATTGAGTTCAGAATTTTTGAATCAAATTTTTTTTAAATAAAAATTCTATTAATCAATATCTGTTATAACTATGTTTCTCTTGAGTATCTTGGTTCCACAGAGGACTGATCGTAAAGACTAGGTTCCCAGTAGAACACCGAAGTCAAAGTCTAAGCTGCCATCAGTAAGCGGGTGGGTAACCACTATGATCAGCCTGCGTAGAGTCCTAGGGTGCGCAGTATTCGTCCTCGTTAAAATGTTTTACCGTAAAGTGCTTGACTTCGCACGTAGATTGTCAGGCTATCAAAGCAGGGGAGCCGTTCCCTCTTCCGAGGAAATTGCGATGGCATGTCTTTCAATAATCCTCAGTTCCAATAGCCTATTGTGCAGCTCTAGTGTGACGTAAATATAGTACCTACTTATCAACTTGAGTATCTTGTTTTTCTTTTCTCAACTTTTATGTGAAATTTTCCTAACTAGTATGTGCTGATTATAATTTATTGTTTTCATATTTTAAAATACATAAAAATAAGTTACATAACATAGTACATAAGACAATCAAAAATAAGTTTTACAGAGTGTGACATTAAAATTTGTGCTGGAAATTATGGTGATAATAAATAATTGAGCTTTCTTGATTATTGTGGGCAAATTTTCAAATGGCAGTACCTACTTTTTCTCGACAAAATCCACACCACAACCTTCATCCTCACCAAAAATAACTTAAAGTTAAAACAATACTTTCAACAACAACAGTGACTTTCTCAAATAGTAAAAGAGAAAATGCATCATGCTTATCCTTGTACTTCCTTATTAAAATTTAAGAGTATCTTTAATTATATTTTCATTGGTGTATAGTGATGCTGTATTGATTGTGTTCAATAACTAATAGGATTTCTAACTTAAACTTTAATTTTATTTTAGATTTTTAGAAATGACATAATAGCATAACTGTTTCATTACTAATGTTCTTTTAAACTTTCAGAATCTTTAAATTGTAGCCTTGAGCAACAATTAGCTGCTGTAACTTCAAAAGTCGAAAATTTGATGAATGTTTTCAACAACCATGTTATGAAGAGTGAATCATTTGCCGAAAATAAACCTCTAAATAACTCCAGGTAGTGCATTGATTTGTATTTCAAAATCTTTTTATGATTTTTATTTATTTTTCTTTTTAACCATGTATTATCTTCCTGTTTTTCGAGTTTAATCAAAGAATTTTAATTTACTAATTTATCTTCCAAATTTATAGTAATTTGCTATTTAGGATTACCTTTTTAAATTGTATTCATTAGATATTTATTCTTAACATTTTTTTTTTGTATTTTTTAACTATTAATCTAAAACTCAATTAAAAAAATAATATTGTAGTTGCTTATCAAGTAGCATATAAAGTGCAGTAGAGACTATTCACGATGTTCAAACAAGAAATTTCCTTCCCTCTCATCAGACTTGATTATTTTATCTTGAACATTTGTTATGGTAAAACAATCCTAGCAATTTGTTCCATTAAACTCTTCATTCAATCCTTTTCTTGTATCAGGCTTTATGCCAAGCTCAAAATAGGTTGTTCGTATTAAATTTTATTATAAGAAATAGTAATTTTTTATTTTTAACTCAGTGAATATGGTATCTTTGCAGCTAAATTTCAAGAGATTTGTGTTTTAAGAAGAAAAACAAATTGTCTTTATTTCTATTAATTTAACAACAATAAAATAATGTCAATTACAAAATATGCATTTCCTTTCTATCTCTATGTTACTTAAACAAAATATTAAATTAGCACTCACAATTCACCCTTATATAGAATCGATCAAATCTTTTCTAAAAGGAAAGTTAAATGATAAATGACTAGTTCCAAATTATTGATTGTTTTGTCTGCAGTGACAAAATTGTACTAATTTCTTTCATATAGACTTTTTCAAATGTATGTTTACATGCTTAAATTGTGTTTATATTTTTGTGGTTAAGAAAGTTTCAATGATTTTACTTTCATTACCAGTTTTAATAGAAATTATAAAAAATTTATGCTCTAAAATTTATGAGATAAACAAATCATTAAAAAAGAATTAAAGGACAAGCTCTACATAAAAATTAGTGTAATTTTTTTATGAATAAAACGTTTTGTATTTTAACCTTTCGAATAATAATTTTCCATTTCTTAATATGCTTTGCCCAAAACTTTTTTTTAAATTATTATTTGGGAAAAAATCGATGTTTAACTTATGGTTTTAAAAGAAATCTGCAGATATTAAGAAATGAAAAACAACTTATCTCTTTAATACAGCTCACATTTTTAAAAGATGTAAAACAAGAGGGATTAGTTTGGCACCCCTCATTTCCAATATGAATGCTTATTTAATCATTCATGTGTTTGCCTTTTAGAAATGTGTCTGTCGAATCTTATATCTAGAATGACAAGGGGGGCCAGAGTTGCCTCTTAGGTATTTTGGTAAGCATCCCATAACCCTGGATAGTTATGGGTGTAAGATACCCTTTGGTACCCCAGTTTCATTAAAAGTACAGTACAGAACCCATTATCCGGAAATCAGAAAACCGGAAAACCAAAAAACCGGAACGAAATTTGATAAATTTTCCCGCTATTTAAAAAAAAAATTTTTTTTTTTTCCTCATAAGATATTAAGATTTTTCTTTCTTTTTTGAAAGACCTTACCATCATTTTGGAAATAATCATTAGTGTATTACTTCATCGTTTTTTCTTCTTTTTAAGATTATTTCCAAAAAATTTTTTTTTCAAATGGGTTTAACAATAAAAAAAACGGCTTTTTGTAGCGATTCAGAAAACCGGAAAAATCAGTTATCCGGAATAGCGATGGTCCCGATCGTTCCGGATAATCGGTTCCCTACTGTATATATATATTTCAACACATTTTAGAGATTTTGAATGCCTAATTAATCTATACACCAAAAATCTGGGATGGGCTAAACTGGCCCTTTCAGTCTTTCAAGGTATACAGCAATGTTCAGCTTTTTAGTGCTAAGAAGTGACAGGGCTTGAATTGATAGACTTTCAGCCACAGATAATCCACTTTAATCTCTCATTACACATCATGAAGGAATATGCTTTAATTCAGATTTCAGTTTTTAAAACTACTTTACGTGGAATTTTGATTTGAAAATTAGTCTAATCTTACTCCTCTATCCTGTACTTGCGACATTTAATTTTAAATTATGCGATTAATTTGGTAGTTTTTAACAAATTTTAAGGGGTCACAGTACCTTTGCAACAATTAGGTATAATCATTAATTTTGAGGATGCTTTACCTGCTCATTTAAGTTATAATTAATAATTTATCTTCAAAAAGTAATTAAACTGTTTAATTCTTTTAAAATTTTAAAAAAAGTTGAAAAAATTCTAAATTTTTAAATCCCTAAGGCTTTTTTATTTTAACATATTTTCAAAAAAAGTTTTTTTCATAGTGCTTGCAATATTTATCTTAATAATTTTGTGCATTCATTTGTTGATATATCAATTAGAATATTTTTTATAGATTATTTTGTAAAAAAGTAGAAAAAAAAGGGTAAAAATTCCTGTTAGGTATATATAACATGCCGTAAAAATTGTAATACCTCATAAAATGCTTATTCCATGCACAGTTTAAATAAGTGTATTATACTCAATATAAAAAAGTTTACTTCAAAGCTTTATCTCAAATAGAAAAAATTCCTTAGGGATTTAATTAAGATTAAGACACAAAATAATCATCTATGCGAAAAAGCACTTTAAAGTCAGACTGCTGAGCAAGTTTCTGTATTAGAACAATTTAAAATCATTCATAACTTTTTTAAAAATGTAGATAGAGAGATGAATTTTTTTCTGTACATTTGAAATACTTTGAAGTTTTATTATAAGCAATAAAAAAAAATTTGGTATTTTCGTCATTTTTTGGGTACTGTGACCCCTTAATGAAGGCTTAATTTTTTTTCAGCAACAACGAACGACCCATTCACACCAGAGATGTGTCTTTACAGTTTAGTCCTTATTTGGTCAACAGAAGTGTGCATACGTCTCCCATTCGAACGTTGGAGAAAGCTAACCAGTGCACCAATTATCTCGAATCAAACCAAACAAAGAAACAGTACCTCAGTGTTTCTACTCAGGCAGCAGCAGCATCTCAATCTGAGGCTGAAATTAAGAAAAGTGCAACTGTTGCCACACAGTCAGACTGTGCTGTTACTATAGATAATTGGATGCAAACTTTAGAAGTACCTGAACATTCCAATAACAGCTCTGTATCAGTAACTCCTGTCAGTGATAGTCCTTTTCTCGATGACATCCTTTCGGAAGGAGAAATTCCATTTCATTTGAAATTCTTGTCGTTTCATGGTATGTATTTAAATTCATTTGTGTTGGTGTTTTGTATTATTTGTAAGATATGTTATACAGTGCGCATATTACAGCTTTATTTAAAAGAAGATAATGAATGATTTGTACACATGAATTTTTTTTTGTACTTGTAGATCGTGCTGCTAATCTAAATTCTACTGTTGCTGAATCTAGTGAGGTTAGTTATTTTGTTTTTTCTCTTATATTTGTTCTTTTTTCGTAACTCGTAAATGTATACATTATTTTACTTGTTTTCATAAAAATTTTAACTCATTCTATGATGTTTAATATTAATCTACAATTTGGAATAAGATTGTTTTCAAATGCTATTTATGTATATTCTTCTAGTCATATACAAACCAAGCTTTAATCTCGAATTCTGTAGAAGAATTCTTTGAACTTAACAAGCGTTTTTTAATGTTATGGTGTAAAAATACATATGATTTATGAACATAAAGATTTGAGATTAAAGATTTAGATTAAAAAGATTTTGTTTTGTTTGAACTATTGAAGACAAAGTTGCATTTGCTAATAATATTTTATAGAATACTAGTCTTAAGCATGAAAATATTAGAAAGCTATAAAGGATTGATGGATTTAGTTTAGTTAACTAGGGTATTTATTCTCCTAAAATTTCAAAATACTTTTTATCAATCAATATAGCCATCCGTTGGTAAACTTTGTAACTAATTGTGAAACTTGGTGAGAATAAATTATCTGGTTAATTAAATACAACAAACTGTACATATCTATCGTTTCCTGTTTTTCTTCAATTTATCCTTAAAATCGGCAGTCATTAATAAGCTGTCTGGTGTTAATGTATTACAAAATTAGTTTAAAAAACACTTGAAATAAATTAAGCCAGGAATTTAGATCTAACTTATCAACTGCATAGTGAAAGCTGTCTAAAAATTTGTGGATAATTGGTGTTGAAAAAATATTTTCAATGATCCTATGATGTATTTTTAAGAATGACTCTAAGAACATGTACTATACATTTACTGATTATTCAAAATATTTTTTATAAGTTAGATAATCAGCTGTAATTTTTTTTCATATACTAATGCTATTATAGTGTTTGTTCACTTCAATCGGAACAAACAATTTAATAAAGACATTTCGAAATAGCTTGAGATTTTTGAAGGTTCCATCAAAAAATATTGTTCTCTTATTTAATATCAGTTTTAAATTATTTGGGGTATTAAAAAAACATAGGAATATTCTAAAACATTTATCTTTGTATATTACACTATAACAGTTTAATTTCTTAGAAAAAATTACTATTGTTATAGAACCTTATTGCAATTCTTATTAACTTTTATTTGTTTACTCATAATGATGTTGCATCTTAGTTATGGTAAATACAAATTGTGTCATAACATTAAATAATCGAAACAGTTACAAGAGCTTTGAACTCGTTAAAATTCTTTTGGGAAAATTACACACATTACTAAAGTGCCCTGTGTTATCCTCAGTAATTTTTTTCAAAGCAGGGAATTAAGAACAGCATTCTAACATTGAATGTTAAATTATTATTTAAGAAGAAAAAAGACATATTTTAAAAAATTTTCACTTTATCTTTTAGTGTCAATCCTATAATGAATTTCAAATAAAGAATTTTGTTTATTTCTTTATTGCTACCAAGGGACATTTTTAACTATCATTGTTTCCCGTGCAACATTTTTATGGATATTGCAGCTAATTATTTCATTTATAGATCACTTTTTAATGCTATACTTTAGGCTTAATTATTACACTAACATATTGACATCACACATGTGTCATACACTTCAGGATGTTCGAGTGTGATTTAAGTTTGAATAAATAATTCTTTTTATACAGCCTTTAATATTTTTTTTAACTAAGTTAAATCATGTTTTAAAAATCTCATAGTTTTTGAGTGTTCCATAGTTCTGAATGTTTTTTAACAATTAATTTGCTTGGTTGATAAATATTTTTATCAATATAATAATAAACATTTTTTCTCTATGACTTTTTATTGAAACTTTTCCTTAGTATTGTTCCCAGATAGGTGGAATTATTTTAAATATTTAAGGAGCCATGGTGGCTCAAGAGATAGAGCATGTGCTTAACAATGTGGCGACCCTGGTTCGATCCCAGCGATAGCTGGTCGATTTGAATTCCGCGCCCAGCTCGCACCGACCGCTGATGTAAAATATCAGTGGTAGATGGATCATTGGTTAGAGTCCCCTTGTCGTCAGGCTGACTATGGGCGGTTTTCATCTCTATGTAATGCAAATGCGAGTTAGTTCCATCAAAATGTCCTCCATGAAGCCAAAATATCTCCTAATACATGATCCTGGAGTTCCCTTGTCTTCTGGAGTGGGTTCAAAATTACAAGGCTACGGCATTGAACATTGGTAGCCGCAAACTGAAAATTGAGTCGGCTGTTTATAGACGGTTACAAAAATAAAATAAAATCGAAATTTAAACGAAAATTCTGTTTGTTGTTTTTAAAAAGTAATATTGAATCAAGTTAGTAAGATTTTTGTTATTTTGTCTTCCTATGTCCTTTCTTTTGGAATTTACTCAGTGGTGACTCGTAGCACTGGCATTCCATAACCAGTAAGGACTGAAGTTCACCCAACTTGTCCTGGATGCAAGGATGGACAGTGCATTGCTGGCCAATGGCCTTCCTCATAACCTTGGTCATAGAAATGTAAAGCCTCAATATCTATTACCCACAATGGGTATTTTTGAGAATGTTTAACTTTTTTTCACATACTATTGACTGATTTATGAAATGTGCTGTTATTTTTTTAAAGTGGAATAAGTCCATTTGGAAAGTGGTAATAAGTTTGAGTCTTTTAACTTTTTAGGATTAGTGTTTGAATGTATTTAAAAACTTCAGTAAAGGTTTCAGTCGGGGTTGTTTCAATCAGGTGTTGTTTTAATTACAATAATTTAATGAAACATCAAAATGCAACAATAGTTATTAAAATTTTAAAATAAATTATAAACTTCTTATGTTAGTATTTTTACCGAAGTAATATTTGTTGAAATTATGTTAATAGGATTACTAGATTTGACATTATTTTAGATTCTTATTTTGCTTTAAGAAAAATGCTTAATTGATAAACTATTTATATTGGATCATTAGCATCACTTATATTGCTAATGTTTCTTATATTCTAATAGTACTTTTTTGTATTTTAAGGTTATATCTAAAATGTGTTATTTCAGGAAAAAGACTATTCTCTTAGTGAAGGTGAAATTCATCCCCAATATCTTCAATCATCTTATAATTTTCCAGTTTCAACTGATCATTTCAACAAAGGTAAATTTTATGTTTTATTTAGCTAAGTAAATTTCATTGCGTTTTTATTTTTGTACATATTTTATGGTAAAAAGATCACATTTAAACAAATTTGAACAGTCTTATGAAATTCATAAAGCTGCATCTAAATATTTAATTGCTCCCACAATACATTATAAAAAATTATTCAGAGATGTTTAATGAAATAAAGAATTACCTTGAATAACTTTCTTTAATCAAATTCTCATGTACTTAAAGGCTAATTTTATTTTTTCCATGGTTAGACTTCGTGTATACTAATTAACAAGTGATTTATGAAATTATTTTATTATTATCAATTGAATTATAAAATAAGTCAGAAACACTTTCTCTGAATAAACCTTTCATTTCTTTAACCCTAATAATAAATCCATTCTTTTGTCAAATTTTAATTCTTCCCCTTCAAAATGTGAGCAGGATTTCCACAGGTCAGGAAAACCTGGAATTGTCAGGGAAGGTTGCAATTTATTTTTTACAAAAATCTGTAATATTCCTATATTATACCTAGAAAATAACCAGTCTTAAAATTGTCAGTAACAGTAGTCAGTTATTCAGATTTGAGTTAAATAATTCTAACATATATTACAATTAATTGTTGTAAAAATTTCACATTTTAGTCAAACTGGAATGTTCCCTTCCTCATTTAATAATATTTTTTGCACAGAAAATCTAATTTGCACTTTACAAATAATAGAATGAAAGTTTTCTGCTGAAAATATGGTCTCAATTTTCATCGAAATTTACCTGGTATACCTGGAAAAGTCAGGGATTTTTTTTTCTTCCGAAATTGAGTGGGAACCCTGAGTGATCAATGTGTGCAATTTGGAATATTGAGTCACAATGGTGGCTGAAAGCTTAGGCCCCTTAATGTTAATTTCAATTTAAGGGAAAGAGAAGAAGTTAAAGGGAATTTTAAAAAAAAAGTTTTACTCAATATTATCAGAAAATAATTATTTCTATACAAAAAATATTTTTTAATAATTAATTTTTTACTTAATAGCAGTCTGAAAAAACATATTTTATGAAAAAAACTAAAATTTTAACATTATCTGTTAATAGTTCTTTGTAAATTACAATTTATTAAACTCTTTTTTGAATTTTTATAACTTACAAACTATTTGACCGATTTTGATCAAATTTTAAAATATGAAAATTTGTATACCTTACAATTTGAAACTATTTTGACCATTGTTAAATAAAATTATTATTATATGGATTATGTAATTGTGTAATGAAAAAGCTCCTGAAATATGGCAAAGCATGCAAAAAGACGTCCACTTAAATGATTTAATGTGCATAGCAGTATAGTGGAGTGTTTAATATGCATCACCACCCTTGACCACAATGCACTTTCATGCTGTTTATAATAGACAAGTTTTGCATAGTAAATCCCACTCCATTAAAGGATATTTTAGCTTTGGAAGGGTTTGCGATTTATAATTGCTTTGTTTCTCAGTCGTGATCTTTAAGATTTAGGTCCGGAGACCTGGCTATTCTCCTGAATATCAAAATGTTTCTTGAACTTAGCCTTGTATGCATGTAATTTATTACAATGAACTGTGGACCAACAACACTTATGAACAAACTTAACTCTTAAAATATGTGTGTTATATCTCTGAAAATACAAGATGCTTCCCTGAATCTTTAGATAACAAAAGAGCCTAAATAAATTGGTACTGGAAACATAATCTTAGATGCAGGTGGAGTTGGGTCTTTGTTTTCTTCACTGATGAGCTCCCAATAAATTTTACAATTAGTTTGCATTTGTGTTACATGAAGAGGAAGACCTAAAGAACCTCCCACGCTTAGCCTGACGGCAAAGGGACCCTAACCCATGATCCGTCTACCGCTGAGGATATTTCATGTCAGCACTGTGGTCGGTGCAAGCTGGATGCGGATTCGTATTGAGCAGCCATCGTTGGGATTCGAACTTGGTTCACCTCATTGGAAGACGAATTATCTATCCCCTGAGCCATCGCGGCTCAAGGCAAAAGTATAGGAATTCGCCACCTGTTTGCCTTTTCAGCGTGTAGCCTACCTTAGAAACAACCTGCCTTTGCTGAGCCCTATGCTTCAGCAATGCCTTCATTTCTGTGGGAAAAAGCAGGTGACTACAAAGAGCTGTGGTGGTACCTATGGGGTGGAGTAAACCTACTGTGTAACATTTTAAGTTTATTTAATGTTAATCATGACAAGAAAATATCGTAGTTTTTCTATTTTGATGACTGTAAAAATCCCTAAAATTCCCCATGTGTAAAATATTTTGTAAATTTTTTCCGAATGAGTAGCTAGTACCTTTGAATTGGACTAGAAGCGAGACACAGAGAAGTCAGATTACCAAGGTGCAGTGTCATAATAAAATTTCCAGTTGTCTGCAATCTGGGACTGGTACTTCTTGGAATGTTTAATCCTTCTGCCTTAAATAATGGTCTAAATTCAGTCACACTAGTTAGGTTTTCCTCAGTGCCCTTCTAGCATGAGGTTTTCTTCCCTGATCCCTACACAACCTTCAAGAAATCCTCCCTTTGTGCTGGGAAAAGATTTGGTGTTCCAGCTCACATGGATGCCACTCTTCAGTCTATGTAAAATAAATTCCATCATTTAATAATATCTCTTTCACATTTAGACAACAAAAAATTCTTACAAATGTAACAAATGTTTTTCTGTTAAAAATAAAAAATAAATTACTTTTTAAAATTATTGTGAAGTGATCAAATAATGATGTCACACTGCAATGAAAAAATTTTATAGATTAAACTTTAACATCTGATTCTATCAACTAAATCTGGTTGAATTCGCATTTTTTCCAACAGCGTTTTAAGATTATTTTTTTAAAAAGAAATTTATGAAGCTAAGACAAAAAAAATAATAATAAAGGTGTAGTGAAAAATAAGTAGAGATGTGAATAACAATACACTATTAGTTGGTTGTAAAAAGATAAATGACGGAAAAATATTAAATTTTTTTTTAGTAAAAACAATTAAATCACTGATTGATGATCATATGTGTCATTATTATGGATCGTCAGTGAGCTATAAATTTCTGAAAATTCAGGTGAACAACGCCAGACTGTGAATTGTTCGAAAAATAAATTATTTTTAGAGTGACATCCATGTCTACAAAGAATCTTCCCCGTTGGCCATCGTTATCATAATATAAAAAATGTTTGTAATGCAAAATTCCCAGAAAGCTTGATAACAATCCCTCCTGTAATCCATTACGGTTTGCACAAGAGAAGAAATAGACTTTACAAAAATGTTTGTCCTTACTCTCCAAACAGTTGGAAATAATTTAGCGATTCAGCTATTATAAGTTTATCTTCTTTACCGATTCCAACTAGTGTGAGCATGCTGGAATGCCTTACAATAAATTCAATAACATTACTTTCTGAACAAACCCCTGTAATTGAATCTCTTTCCAAATAAATAAACTGTACTACTTTAATATGATATACTTAATTCGACTTCTTCTTCGTCAGCACTACAGCTTAGTGCAGGCCAAGGCTTTCTCAATTAGCTGCCTCCAGGCAGGATGACTTTGAGCTAGATTTTTCCACCTGTTTATTCCCAACACTTTTAAGTCCTTCTCAATACTGTCCAACCATCTTGTAGCTGGTCACTTAATTAAGCACCTTTATAAAAAAAATTATTTTTACATGAGATTACTCTTCCAGGAGCTCATTCTTTTGCAACTCTAAGTCAGCTCAAGTCACCAACTGAGAAGACTTTGAATTTTGTCGACAGTTCTACGAGTGAAGCGTCTTTATCTCGCCTAGGTCAAAATGCAAGACAAATAAACTTTTCCACTCCAATTTGGAACCCTGAAAACTCACCCCAGCTTCATTCTTCGGGAGAAATTCCATCTCATTGCTTCTCCTCAAGCAAAAGAAGCTTCCATGACGTCAAGCAAATGGAAAAACCCTTTGATGGTATGAAAAAAGCAGGCATTAGTGTAAAAGATTCAAATAATTATTATCATTATAGAACTGCTTATCAGATGCCTGATAAAAATATATCTCCCTCTAACTTAAGTTCATTATCAAGTCTTGATAACTCAAATTGAATACGTAAATCTGTGATGTTCTTCGTCTTCAAATGGATTTGAAGTTCTCAGCGACTCGTATGGTATCAAAGCAACTTGGCACCCCTGAAAAGAACTCAAATAGTTGGCTCATTAAAACTGTTTATCGGATGATTGATAAAATAATTTCACATCCTAACTAAGTTGTCAATTCAAACACCTAAATTAATATGTACACTTGTTTGTTATATGTATTCTTCTTTTATACATTTTATAAAGCTTTTTGTACCTATCATTTTTGTTTTCTGTTTGATTACAAAATCAGCTCAATCAGTTTTCAGATATTTTAAATAAATACAAAAAAAGCATAAAAAAACGTCTTTCATTCAGGCATTTAAAAGAATCTAAAGTTCTTTTAGAATAGCTTTTTCAATCTAAAAAACTTTTTTTTTGCAAGTAAATCAAGGTGGAGTAGTACATTCCTATATAACTGAAAAGAGTAGGCGAGGAAAGGGTCAAAGGCATGGAACCGGTTTTCTCCCCAGATGGCGTATTTGACCGTTATGATCACGAATAGGAATGTACTACAATATTTTTCCTTTTTTTAATATTTTTACATTTAATTGTTAAAGATATTTTTTAAAGTTTCCATGACACTTTCTTTTGGAACCATGTTTAATGTAGTTTTCAGTTCCATATAGTCTCCTAACTAAAAAGATTTCAATATAGTTGAAAATCAAAACAGAAACTAACGAATTTCCTTCTATGACTCGCCACACGCTAATGGTGAAAGCATGCGAAGTGTTGCCATAGGTAGAGAGTTCTGCTCTACGCCACCTGTATCCCATTTCGATCACCAATTTTAAAAATTAAGCATCGAAAATGACGACTGTGTGTCAAATTTATATTAGCTCTAATATTAGATAGTATTCAGAATATTGCATCTTTCTAATGTTAGATAATGTCACTTTGCTACCTGGGAAGCTACGTCAATTTTGAACCTTGGAAGATTATATGTTAATGTGTAAAAATCTGATTATTAGGACAAAAGTCCTTCATTGTACAGCTTTTTTTATTTCGTACAAACTGCCACAACAGCCTGTTGTAACAGGGTTCCCACTGCTCAGGGAAAGTTGCAATTTTTTTGCAAAAACCTGGAAAATTCCTTCATTATTGTAGATGGAAAAAAAATCAGTCTTAAAATTGTCAGTAACAGTACTCAATTGTTGAGATTCAAGTTGAATAATTTTAACATCTATTACAATTATTTATTGTAAAAAATTTTCATTTTAGACAAACTGAAATGCTTCCTTCCTCATATAATGATATTTAATTTACATAAAAAATCTAATACTTGGCATTACAAATAAAAGAATCAAAATTTTTTAATGAAAAATTCCATAGTATAGATATAATATGGTATTAAGTTTCAGTGAAATTTACCTGATATACCTGGAAAAGTCAGGGAATTTTTTTTCTGAAATTGAGTGGAAACCCTGTTGTAAGCACTGGAGCTTGAAGGTCCATAATGTCATGGCCTACGGCATGATTGTGAGAATATGCTTTTTTTTTTTTATTGGCTATCGAAATGGACTATAGGTGGCATAGAGCAGAAGTCTCTACCTATGACAACACTTCACATTCTTTCACCATTAGCGTGTGGCGAGTCATAGGAGAAGGAAGTACGTTAGTTTCTGTTTTGATATTCAAATAGATTAAAAACTTTTAAGTTAGGAAACTATATGGAATTGAAAACTACATTGAACATAGTTCTAAAAGAAAGCGTCGTTGAAATTTAAAAAAAATATTTGTTAGAATTAAATAAGGAAAATATTTAAAAAGCTGAAAATATCGTAGTACATTCCTACAGAACTGAGCAGAGGAACCGATCCCCCCCCCCTCCCAGATTGCGTATTCGAGTGTTGCGATCGCGAATACTGTGTACAAAGAATCATCCTGACTAATTTGTTCGGATCTTCACGTAGTAATAGTAGTTTATTTATGTCGAGCTGCACAATGGCCATTGGCGTCGGTCTGGGAAACATCCCTGAGGATGATCCGAAAACCTGATATCACAATTTTGCTCTTAGACCTATGCTCCCCTGCATCGGTAGCCCGACAACCTGCCTCAAATATGCTAATTAATTAGTGCAGACGATATTTTAAGTTACGAAATCAAACACAAAAAAACATACCTTCTCTTCGATGGCCTTAGATTTCTGGCCCTTTAAATATTGGGGGTAACTACACTCTGAGAAATATGATCCCTATGAATGGTTTTTTATTTTATTCCATAACCGTTGTTGAACAGTCGACCCAATTCTGGATTTACGACTATCAATGTTCAACTCTGTATCCTTGTAATTTTAATCCCAATCCAGAAGACAATAGAGCTCCTGGGTCAGTACTCCCAGAGATATTGATTTGTTATGGGAACATGGAGGAATTTGTGACCCAACAGATTTAACGTGCATCAGTCACCATTTACTACACGGGGAGTCTTCGGCAAGTGGAGATCGAACCCACGATCTCTTCGACATGGGCCTAGTGCCCTACCAACCAGTCTATCACGACCCGCTTTAAATCTATTGAGATATTTAATTTTATTATTTCTTTGTAATATCAGCATGCCAGACTCGGTTGAAAGCTTTAGTTACGTCCAACATTAATGGAGGCCGAAATTTGCTTATTTCTAAACCCCTGCCCAATGAATTCTAAAATACGAGTAATTTGTTTTGTCGTATCAAGTTCCTTCTGAAACCATATTGCTCATCGAGGAGCACGTGCAAATGATTTTCAAGTTTATTATAAGTAATACGTTCAAAAAAAATTCTGAAGGTTGCTAGTAGGCTAATTGGTTTATGGTTCTGTGGTATAACCGTGTCCTAGTTAGGGGTTTCGGGGTTAACTGATTAACTATTACGGTTTTAGGGATTAACTTAGTTAGGCGTTAACTGGGTTAGGGGCTTAGGGATTTACTTAGGGGTTAACTGGGTTAGGGGCTTACGAAAGAGAGCGATGGTGGCTTTCTTCCATTGTTTAGGAAAGTGGCAGCTTTTAAGATTATTGTTAGGTGATGAATATAATTTATCTGATAGGGCTCTGTTCCTTTNCCGATCCCCCCCCTCCCAGATTGCGTATTCGAGTGTTGCGATCGCGCATACTGTGTACAAAGAATCATCCTGACTAATTTGTTCGGATCTTCACGTAGTAATAGTAGTTTATTTATGTCGAGCTGCACAATGGCCATTGGCGTCGGTTTGGGAAACAATACCTGAGGATGATCCGAAAACCTGATATCACAATTTTGCTCTTAGACCTATGCTTCCCTGCATCGGTAGCCCGACAACCTACCTCAAATATGCTAATTAATTAGTGCAGACGATATTTTAAGTTACGAAATCAAACACAAAAAACATACCTTCTCTTCGATGGCCTTAGATTTCTGGCCCTTTAAATATTGGGGTAACTACACTCTGAAAAATATGATCCCTATGGATGGTTTTTTATTTTATTTCGTAACCGTTGTTGAACAGTCGACCCAATTCTGGATTTACGACTATCAATGTTCAACTCTGTATCCTTGTAATTTTGATCCCAATCCAGAAGACAAGAGAGCTCCTGGATCAGTACTCCCAGAGATATTGATTTGTTATGGGAACATGGAGGAATTCGTGACCCAACAGATTTAACGTGCATCAATCACCATTTACTACACGGGGAGTCTTCGGCCGGTGGGGATCGAACCCACGAACTCTTGATCATGGACCAGTGCCCTACCAACCAGTCTATCTTTTTTTTTTACACAATTATAAGATTCGTTTATCCAAAGATAATTATATTAAAAGTTTTTGTAAAAAAATAATTTAGTATATTTTACTATTGTGTTTAATAATAGTCGGAAAAAAATTTCTTATAAATTTTTAAGTCATTTTAAAGAAAGTAATTTTATAAGGCGAAATTTGAACGAATAGGTCCTGAGAACTTAAGTCTTAAAGAAGTCGTATATTAAATTCTACAGAAATAATTAGTCTGTAGGTTCGGACAATTAATGCAATAAAAATGCAGTAGAATTAATATTAATAAAGTATTAAATTATAATTAAGTAAATTATAATAGCAATAAAGTATTAAACAATAGTTTATCAGGAAGTTTTCATGATACTAAAACACATTTTCCCAGAATTCAAACTCTATATTTATTTAAATTTTCATACATACTATAGCACTTGATGGTCTAATACAGAAGTATTGCCTTCAATTTCATAGAATGTTCAATTCTTAAAATGTTTAATGATTTTCCTACTTCGGCTCGCAGCGTTTCTTAATGCTCGTTGCCATTTTTTTATCAATAAAATCGGAACTGAACATGAATAGTTAAACTCAAATACACTAATAACCTTCTAAAACTCAGTAGAATATTTAAACGGGTGAAGTAGTATCAGAGTTATCAAGATCTCTTGGATATTCATCACACATACAGATTTTATTTTCATCGCTGTCAACTTCGTAAGTCTTGAATTGAGACACCACTGTGATTTTTTCCAACATTTGGGCAAAATCGATGTCGTTCATAACCCTTTGGAATCTAGTCAAGAAGAACCAATCAGAGTACGACAGTCTGCTGCACAGAGATTTCAGAATCGGTCTCTCCGGTAGGGGCGCATAAAAACGTGTAACATTCATTCTCACAGAAGGTATTAAAAGAACGATTCGAAACACCAATACGATTCCAGCTGAGATGGTTAAGAAAATATACCAAGCATGGACGAAGAGAAACATCAGCATATATAGTTGGTTTAAAGGCAACAGGCACGTACCACTGTATTCTTGAGCAGGTGTGAAATGTCTATAAAGTTCATGATAGGTACAGATGCCGTATTTGGGGAAATAGAACAACTGGAAGTCAGACCAGGTTTTAATTTGAAAATGTAGGAAATCGGGCACACCGGTAACATCAAAAAAGTACACCAACCACAGAGTATGCGACAATGCCACGCAATAATTAAAGATCTCGCACAAAATGTAAAAGCACGTGTACAGTTTGTGCTTACCTTGCGTAACCAGTATGTACTTGGCAAGATAGCAAAGTTCCATGCTCCGTTTCTCTCCTTTATAACATTCGATGCCTGAGGTCAAACGACATAAGTAGCCAGATTCATATGATTTCCACAACAAATGAGGCAGGTAGAAATTAAAAGCATGCACCAGGAAGAACAAATTCACCCAAGAGTAGTATGTTTGGTACCTTCGAAAACCCCGAGTACTTGGATCCGCTGTAGTAACGTTTACATCATTAAAATGTTCTCCAGGGAGGGAATAGACATTACCAGCATAGCAACCAGTTTCTATAAGGCGTTGAGAAGCAGAAATGTTGGTAACTTCACAAGCAAAAGTGTTACCAAGAAACAGTCGACAGGTTACAATTAAACAGAGTGTTACCAACAGCAGCACAGTCCATCTGTAGTGCAGGTAAAATATGAAATTGTCTGGTAGTTGTCGCTTAGGAATCAGCTTACTAAGAAATTTTGGAGACATGTTTGTCTTCGTCGGAAAAATAAATATTTTCCAAAGGTTTGTTGTTTAACAAAAATTCTTTTGGATGTATGTTTGCAAGGAATGCAATTAGTCTAGTCCAGAAATTATAAAAAAGGAAATAGGTGAGGTAGCTTCCGTGTTGTTTATCACACGAAGACGGAAGCAGGTGTATTAATGTTTCTCGCATCTTTTTCTGCTACTGTCACATTTCTCTCAAACTGAAATATTAAAAAAAAATCATCGCATTTTCATTTCAATTGAATACTTTCCTAATGATTTAGAAATAACGGTCATTCGTGTCGTTTAGATGGGAGGGAAGTAGCGTCTTTGTACTTAATCGAAATTTCGAAATCCGATTAGAAAATATATAAAACTAAATTATCACGTTCTGCATATATAATTAAAAACATCAACAACAAAAAAAGAAAAATAGAGGTGTCGTAAGAGTGAGATAATGGAACATTTGCCTTGCTATACCCACGCGGATGATATTTGAAAAGAAAAAAAAATTAAAATTTCACTTTTATTTCTATTTATTTTTAGCATTGGAAATACGAAAACCATATTTTCTCATATAGCTGAAATAAAAAGTAGACAGTAATCTCCATGTCTGTAAGGGCTCCACACAAAGAAATTTCTTATATATCAAAATTTTAGATTTAGAAAGAAAAAAAAGATTCGATTCATTTTAACACTCTTAGAAAATTATTAAAGTGGGTCCCCTTATGCTCGTAATTCCTCACCGGTAAGGGCAGTTAATGTTGTATAAATAAAATATAAAAAAAAAAGACTGTATAAAATTTGAAGAAATGAAATTTGGGAAACTTAATCATTATATTTCTTAAAGAAATTGGTAGTAATTCTTTTTCCACTGGAAGAAATTATTTAAAGGATCCCGCAGAGTCTAGCGACGGTTCCGTAATATTGTCCATTGGTTATTAACTTAATTGGCGATGTACAGTTGAACCCCGTTTTAACGAACCCCTATCTTCCGAATTTCGCGATTTAACGAATTTTATGAAGTTAAAATGAAGTAGATTAATAGGAAGCAATGAATAGCGGCAGAGAAATCAATGATAACGAATCTTTAAAAGTGTTACTGTTACGTGAAAACTGTTACTTTTTCTGATGCTTTGCATGATTTGGAATTAGTGAAAACTTACCTAATGTAGCAAGATGAGAATGAAGGAGTATTTTTTTTCTCTCCATGACGTCGAAAAAGAACTTTTCAAAGTATGAAATCATGGAAATAAGCAAACCCTCCTAACGAAATGCTTTAAAATTTCAAATTAATCTGCGCGTAATCGTTTTATTCGCGTAATCATTGCGTAATTAATCAGAGCGTAATCATTGTATTTTAAATTCCTGAAAAGTGTAAGATTTCTATTTATTTTATGTATTAGCTTATTAGAGAGGTTCGAATATTTCATAAAATTAGTCAGAGCAGCGATGGCTCAGGGGATAGAGAGTTCGCCTTCCAATGAGGTGATCCGGGTTCGAGTCCCTCAATCCGCATCCGGCTTACACCGACCACGATGCTGACATGAAATATTCTCAGTGGTAGACGGATCATGGGTTAGAGTCTCTTTGCGGTCAGGCTAACCGTGGGAGGTTCTCGTGGTTTTCCTCTCCATGTAGCGCAAATGCGGGTATAGTTCCATCAAAAAGTCCTCCACGAAGGTAAAATTTATCCCAATACTTGATCCACGAGTTCCCTTGTCTTCTGGATTGGGTTCAAAATTACAAGGTTACGGTATAGAATATTAGTTGTCGTAAACCCAAAAATTGGGTCAGTTCAACGACGGTTATAAAATAAAATAAGGTTATTCAATTTTTTTAAATATTTTTATTAAGTTTTATTTAATGAAAAGATAGATTGTAATATAAATTATCACTTACAAGAAAACGCTCTACACTGTGTTTAGGGAAATTTCTTCTCATACAAGTTCCACTCTCAAAAACTGCCGACGAGTTGGGAATTTTAAAAAAATGATCAAATTTCTTCTCAACTGCCTTCAACGAAGAGATATTTGACAAATTATTTCTGGAAACATTTTAAATTTACCAAATTCTAAATCAGTGGAAAGTTTGACAAAATTTCTCCTTAACAGAGCAGAGTATGTTCCCTTGATAGAAAGTTAAAGTTGAAAAATAGTTATGTTTGTTTGAGTTTCTTTTCAAGGTTCAAAGAGGAAAGATGTTAAATAATACAGCAGTAATAACATTTAATTAAATTTTCTTTAAATTGTAATTTTGTCTAACATAACCGTACCGAAAATTTGCCAGCGGTTGTAATAAATACTCGAAAGATTAGATGAAAAGAAAGTAAAAAGAACAGCCTTCGTAGAAAAATGAAATTAATATAGTTTATTAAATTCTAAGTTTAAGCGATTTAAAATAATTTTAAAACACGCTATTTACATTGTAAAAATATGTGTGCAAAAATAAGAAAAGTTTAGCCCCTAATTTTTTTTTTTTTTTTTTTTTTTTTNTTTTTTTTTTTTTTTTTGTCGAAAATACCCCTTCCCTGAAAACGATAGGAGTAATGGGGCAGAGATACATAAAGTTTGAAATTAAACTCTTAATTCCCGAACGACTGCAGCTATATTTGTAAAAATGGTATCTATGTATAATAAAGTGACTACGTTTCACAAATTTAAGATACTTTACAGCGCCACCTGGTAGAAAACTGCAGAGTTATCGTTCGAACTCGAAAACGGTAAATTAGAACAATGTAGAATATCAATTTAATCTATAACATTTCTCTCGGATATTAAAAAAGAGAAAAGAATGCCTTTTTTTTCCTGTTTTGAGCATTAAAAATAATCACTTATGAAAAACATTTTTCTCGTGCTTCGCAGTATAGGAAAAGTAGGATTTAGAACCAGATTTTGAAAAAGACTTACTAATTAGTTTTCTTTTTTTTTTTTTTTTTTGTAGTAGTAATGTTTACAAGGTTGAAGATAGTCTGCAACTTTCTTACGCACATTTTTCCTTATCCTACACTGTCTTCGAAATAGGTAACGTCAAAATTTTTCACTGAGTGGCGTAGTAAGCCACCTAATTTTGTAGAATATAGCCATTTTGCGATACATAGGCACCATTTTCATAAAGTTAGCTACAGTCGTTTAGCAGTGTAGTGGTTTTCAATGTTTGTTTTCTTTTCTTATTTGAGCTTTATGAGGTGGGAAGTTTATTTCATTTGTGTTAAGATTTAAGAATAAATAAATAATTTTGAAATATTTCAGAACATACGATATTCTTTTCTCTTTTTATTAGCAGTTTGTAGAGGCCATCATTTTTATTTTGATTGAAATTAATAGAATTTTTTTTATTTGATAAGTTCTTTTTTTCATGAAGGGGAGCATCATCCTGTTCATAAACAAAGTTTGTGTTAATTATTGATTCATTTATTTATCTCAATACAATAATGCTAATATTTTGGGATTTTTAACCTATAAATGATTTCCAGATTTAGAAGGGAAAAAACAACTTCTTTAATGCTCATCATATTGAAAACATTAAAGGTTGCTATAAACCAATGTATTATGCGGAATTAAGAAAAACCGTATCGATTCTACAAGTGGTGTAAGCGGGATAAAAAAAAGAATCAATTTAAATACTTGAGGAAACTTGGAGATGTTTCTTATGAACAACTTTTAAATCCACTAAATTTCCTCCAGCAATCAAATAGGTTCTGATTTTTCCGTCCCGCCTTCAATTAATTGAAATCCTCAGTATATAAGTTAGATTTGTAAAACGTTTTCGTTTATAATTCCAATAAATTTTATTCATCCAAAAAATTATGTTCCTTTAATAAAAGAAAAAGTATTCAGTTTTTGACTATGGACCATTTTTAAGATAATTTTCACATTCAGGCTTTTTCTTTTGAGAAATTTTTTCACACCGTTCGTTAATTTTTTTTTTCTTTTTTCGCTGTTTCAGAAAAAAAATTAACAAAAATTTAAACATTTACAATTAAATTAATTCATCTGAGAAATATATTATGAAAAAAGAATTCTTCTAATATTTTCTCTAATAAAAAATTAATATTGAAAAAAAAAACAGGCAAAATAATAACAGTTATTTTCAAGGTTGCCCCTTGCACTCGCTGTTTAAATTTCAGGATTTTAGCACAAAGGCTGATAAAATAAAGACATACAAATAGACATTTAAACTCATTCTTTAGTATTTGCATATTTTTTTTTCGTGCTCAAATATTAAACTAGAGTCAGGATTATAAAATAAAACATATCTGTCTTGAAACGGAAAGCCACGTCGTGATATTTTAATAAATATCAACACTTTTTAAAATGATTCACCGCTTTGTATTTTAAAAAATTTATTTCTTTTAGCACTCATCTTTATTTTCTAGCAAAAGCCATAAATGGATGAAGAAGAAAATTTTATTTCTCTTTGTTTCCTTCAGCACGATTACATTGTTCGCTGTTTTTATTTATTTTATCTTTCATGATTTCCTTTTGTAGCTGCATCAGCAGGTTGGAAGGGAGGGGGGATCAAAATAATTCGCTGAAGAAAAAGAATCTTATGGCAGAATGACCAGTTTTGAAAGGAAAACTTGCCACGTAATCATGAAGTGATTTAAAATAATTTTTTCTTTTTGAAAATTCGATTTTTATCTTGGCTGGTATTAAAGGAAATTAAAATTGTCTATTGAACGTTTTGGAATAAAAATGATGAAAAGAATTATTAATTATCGTATTCGTTATCAAAATTCTCCTGTCAGATGCAGTTTCGTATTTCGAGTTAGTGCATTATGGACACCGAGCGTTCTGCTTTTCTTCAGCCTGATTGTGAGCAGCAGACTTGCTTTTGGCGATTCTTTCTCATGCTTGGCTCCTCCAGATGTGATTCCCCAAAGTTATTTGGAAGTTAAATGTTACTCCGAATCAGTTTATGTAATTCCAACGACACTGTTTGGCAGAGAACGTGGATACAGTTCAATGTCTCAGCCGTCTGATAACTTCTTAAAATACCAATCCTTCTACAAATGGGTAAATCTGATGTTCCTACTCCAGGCATTTGTTTTCTCTCTGCCATATTTTGTGTGGAAAACATACGTATCCAGTTGCAGCGCCATTTTGTTAGAACGCTGCGAAAGTTATGAAAAGGAACAAAAGAACTCATATCTCAATCGATTTGTTAGTTACCTGTTACTTAGCCGTGGAAAACATAAACTGTTCACTTTTCTTTACGTAATTTTGGAAATCTGCAACTTTGGGATTTCAGTGGGACAATTAATATTACTCGTGAATTTCTTTCAAGCAAATGGCAACACCACAACAGAAGTTTTTCTGCCGGTAGGTTCGCTAACATGGTCGGAATACCGCGAAATTTACTTTCCTACGTCGGGGATGTGTAAATTTTTTAAATATAGTGCTTCTGGCGATCGGATCCACTTTGAAGCTGTGTGTATTCTACCCCTTAACCATCTATTCATGATTCTATTTTTTATCACAAGATTATGGTATGTATGTTTGAGTATTCTTACAGCACTGGCCTTGATTTATCGTTTGGTGTCTATTCCAAGAACCGTAAGAATCAACATTCTCAAATCAGTGGACACTTTATCAAAGAGATCAACTTTACAAATGATTTGCAAAGAATTTTCTTACAGTGATTGGTTCTTCCTCGTAAACGGAACTAATTTTTCAGACTTTGATTATTGCTGTCTTCATGAAAAACTTGTAGTTGCGATGCGATCAAAAATTATGCCTTACTTTAAGGAGAACGAGAATGGTTCCTTAATACTTGAAGTACCAAAGGAAGAAGAAAAATCTATAATAATTTCTGATTTATAATTTTTATAACTGTTTCAGATTAATAAAAAATTTCCATTTGTAATAGTTTTAATAATATTTAACCTATAATTTCTAGAGATGTACCGGATCCAAAAATTTTGTCCGGTACCCGGTGAAAAAGTATCTCTTACCCGGTCCCATTTGGGGTACCTTTGTTACCCGGTGGTTCCGGATACTAGGTAAAATTTAGATTTATTACCTGAGGTAATTTATGTCGCCCCAGTAAAAAAAAAAAAAAAAAAAACATGCTTTTATTTTTAGATTTTTTTAAAACTGGACTTTAAAAAAGTTTTCAAAATGAATTTTATATGACAGTTCGGATATGGAATGTTTAACGTAAAACTTTGCAATGAAGTGGAGAAATCTTTTACTAATAGTTACGTAGAGTTAATTTTTTATTTGATTTACATATAAATTTTCAATTCCATTTATTAATGTAGTATTTGTTAAACGTAGGATGTTTTTAAAATATTAATAAAATGACGGTATATAGAATGAAAAATATGTTAGCCATCATTAAGAATTTTTAAACATTCGAACTATAAACGTAATTTACACACAGAGATCTACTTTAGTACACTATTTTAAACTTTTGGTGAGACATTTTTTTCTTATACCAATGGTGAACAAAAGATTCATATAGCAATTTTGTTGTTAGAATTCTATTTCCGTATAATTTTGATTTCGTTCAATTTTCGTATTTTGTCATTTAGAATCGCATTCTTTAAAATAATGTAAAATTTTTATACCTAAAAATTCACTTTTTTAGACTATTATAAGATAGTTTAATAATTACTTAAAATTATTCTTTTACTTAGAATATACAGACCCTATTCTCCAGATTGCAGTCCTTTTGAGGGTCTACAATCCGAATCTGTGGAAAAAAATTATGTTTATTCTGAGAAAGTATGTCTATGTGTCTGATCACGCAATTTAAAACATCGTATGTACCTCGGTAATAGAAAACCTCCAGCACAGCAGCAAGAGCTACAGATTAGCACAGTATCTGCAGATCATTTCACACCTTAGATTTTAAAGAATAAGAGAAAAACTGCTAGTAGGGGGGAAAAAATGTGATCTTCAAAAGGCGATCACAGGTTACTCATTGGCAAAATGGTTGCTGTCTAATTTCTTTTTTTATAATCAGTCAGTTTGAGACCCTCTTTATTTGTGATATTCACCTGAATTAGCATTGAAAACGATCCAGTTTGAACTGTAGGATAGAATTCCTGATTCTCAATTAAAATAAAAATATCGCTCAAATGATGAAATTCTTTTATCAGGGATGAGAGTAGTTGGAAAGTAAAAAAGAGGAAATTCAGGAATGTGTGTATATATATATATATATATATATATATATATATATGAAAATTTGACAGTAAAAGTGCAATTTTTAAACTTGTAAACCATGTAATTATAAATCCCGATGATTAATTTTAAAATTGCATGAATATATAAATATGAATCGCATGCATGATTTTAAATT